TCAATATCCAGATCCCTCAGAAGGTCTCGCACGACGTCTGCGGATGCCGCGACCGCCAGCATGGCGCAGACACCTTGGCTGTTGCACTTCTGCATGGCCAAGGTGGCGCGAGAACCGACGAGGTAGAGTGCGTCAGCGAGTGAGAGTACGCCGGCCACGTGAAGCGCAGCATACTCGCCCAAGGAGTGGCCCATCACCAGATCCGGCTCAACACCCAGCCGTCTCCAGAAGGTAGCGAGGCCGATCTCCAGTGCCAGTACGGCGAGCTGCGTCTGCGCCGTGGTCCAGGCCCCACCTCCGATTCCGGCTCCGGCTCGTGCCCCACTTCCGGTCCCGGTGATGATGTCCAAAAAGGGGGGAAATCCAAAGCCGTGGCATATGTGCTGGCAAAGGTCCACAGTGTCCTTGAAAACTGTGCTTGTGCGGTACAGCTCGGCGCCCATGCCGGCATAGTGTGAGCCCTGGCCGGTGAAGACGAAGATGACGGGCGATTTCCTGGTTGTTGTGGGTTTTGAGTCAGACTCCAGTGCCTGGATAAGTTCTTTCGTAGAAGAGGCGGCACAAGAGAAGCGGAAAGAAGGCTGATGGACCCTTCGGGCCGTGGTTGTGTAGGCGACATCCTCAAGACGAACGGACGGGTTCGCAGCAAGCCATTTTGCCAGCCGGGATTTGTTGGCTTGATGTGATGCGGCTGTGTGTGCCGAGAGCACCACAACGTGTGCTGGTCGCGGGTCATTTTCAGGGCCACAGGTTACGGTCTTTGTGTTCGGGCCTTGAAAGTCTTCTACCACCAACGCCGTGTTCCCGCCCGCAGCGTCGAAGTTGTTGATCAGAACACGCCTTCTCTTCCCACTCTCGGGGCGAAACGGGGCGGCCTTGCTCAAGATTCTGATCTTGTTTTCTTCCAATGATGGGAATTGCTTGTTGAGAGCGTGTGGCATGCCGGCCTGGGGCGGCAGCATCTGTTTCTGGAACATGAGGATGGCCTTGATTACCGAGGCAACTCCGGAAGAAGCCTCGCTGTGGCCGATATTTGCCTTCACAGATCCAACTGACAGGGGCTGTTCCACCTCTCCGCCATCGGCCTCCTCCTTACCACCGGCCGGCGTCCTACGTCTACGGCCCAAGACATTGGCAACGGCTGTCATCTCACACGGGTCACCTACAGGAGTCGCAGTGCCGTGCATCTCAGCGTAAGCAATATCTCTCGGACTGAGCCGTGCCTGTCTTAGCGTCTGGCGCAATACACGCTCCTCGGCTCCCGAATCCGACTGAGTGAGGAAGGCTGAGTTGCCGGCTTGATTGCGGGCTGATCCGGGGATGACGGAGAGGATGCGATCGTTGTGGGCGATGGCGTCAGCAAGGCGCTTCAACACCACAACGCCAACAAACTCGCCACGGCAGTATCCTTGAGCATCATCCCGGAAGGTCCGGCAGTTGCCCGTGTCCGAAAGGACACCGGCCTTGCTCAGGAGGCACCATCCATGTGGCGAGGCCAGCACGTTGGCGGCGCCGGCAACCACCATGTCATGCTCGCCTGCCAGTAGACCCCGGCAGGCCAGGTGGATCAGCGATAGCGAGGTTGAGCAAGCCTGGTCGATGGAATATGTTGCGCCCTCCCAGCCGTAGTGGAAGGCGACACGACCACCCGCAAAGGGTCGCGCGAGGGCTTGTAGTGTGTACGCGTCGCAGCCCTTCTCATGGTGTGCCGTCTCATATCCGTCCACGTTGCTCTGGCCAAAGAGGACAGAGATGCGACTCGGATCCACGGCCTTCGTTGTGCCGCATGAGTAACCCGCCGACTCGAGGGCCTCGTGGCACGCCATCTGGAATAACCGACTGCCTGGGTCCATGATAAGGGCCTCGCGCGGCGAGACGCGGAAGAAGCGCGAGTCGTAGTGTCCCGGCTTATCGAGGAAGCAGCCCATCTTGCAGGTTGACACGCATTTGGGGCCCTGCTTGGATTGAAAAAGGTCGTCGGCGTCGAACCGTCCTTGGGGGATCTCGCGCGCAACATCACGCCCGGATTCGATGATCTTCCAGTATTCCTCCAGGTCATCACACTCAGGGGCACGGGCGGCCATGCCCACCACGGCAATACGACCTTCGTAGTTGTCTACGGCACCCTGCGATTTCGGTTCATGACGCTCGTTTCCGAGCTCGGTGTACTGGGCGACTGAGACCCTTCTGCCCGTGGCTTTCAGCTTGCTGGTGAGAGAGCCGGCGAACCATGTTGGACCCATTATCAATAGTTGCACGCCTTGGCAAGACTCTGCGCCGAGACGATTGTTCAACCTCTTCACCATGTCCACCAAGTCAACCGGTCGTGAAAAAGCATAGTCTGCCACGCTTAGAAGCAGCTGGCCCCAATTTGCGTAGGTGGGAGGAACGGTATCGTTGTCTTCATCGGAAGCCCGAAGTCCCCAAAGTCGGAATCCCGGGTGGACAGAATTGGAATGAAGTGCAGATCTTCCGGCAATGTACTCGCGATGTGATTGTGAAAGCTCGTGGTTGTGCTGCATCGAGTAGATGGGAAGCCTCTGCGTCGCGACATCTCCCAATCTGTTGTCCTTCAAACACGCGTCAAGCACCGAGGGAGGGCCGACAACGGTGCCCCAGTGGTCCCCTCGGATGCCCACCCGCGCTCTCTTCAGGCTTGGGACTTTGCTGCTCTCCTGAATCTGGTGGAGGATGCCGTCCAGCTTCTCGGGAGTGATGCCCACGACCGCACAGCCCCATGAGGAGGAGCTGCCGCTGCCGCCGTCTTCCACGGCTCGTGAGACCTGCCCGGCAACCTCGCATAGGCGACACACGAACCCGGCAGTCACCACGCTGGCGTTGCGGAGAGACTCGAAGTCTTCTGAGATGGCCAGGACCGCGGCGTTGATCAGACCTCCTGAGATGCCCAGTCCCTCGGGCCTGGGATTTGCTTTCAAAGCGTCTGGTGAATCATGGACCCATCTGACTTACAGAATTAGCACCTGGACATGCAGAAGGACTCTCCTCTCGCATATATCGTACGCACCTTAACAGAATCACGGCCCGCACAATGTATGACATAATACACTGCACAAACCCAACATCGTCATCATGATCGCGATACAAGTCCGCGACCTCCTGAACGCTGGAAAAGATACCACTAGGACCCAGGCTGTCCCGGATCTTTGGGTGCATATGCCGCGTCTCCGCTCTCACGACTGCCGCCACGTCGTCGAGGAAGAGCCGCAGCCAGGCACATTTGCCGGCCTGTTCGTGGATGCGGTCGATCGACTCGAGCCACGGCTCCGTGTAGCCCCCAAAGAGGAGAATCGTTGGTGTTGGCGTCACCACCGTCATTGTGTGCTCACGTATGTGGTGATTCTTGTCGTGTGGAATCTGTCTATCCTCTCAGCAAGATAGGCTAAAACCCGTCGCTGGTCGAGAGTCGTCGATGTTGTTGGGGGAAGTGGCGGGCGGTCAAGATCGAAGCTCGTCTGCACGTGTTGCTCGTCGTGAAACCACCCCTGATCAGCACTACGACCCTTTTGCGAGTCCGAGACGTGCGAAGTCGTGATAACTGACAGTCGGGCTCTTCGGAACTCCGAAGTTGTCTTAACAAAAGAATAGATTAATATTCGAGTCGTATCATTTCAAGCATAATATTCAGGTTCACGTAAGACCCCCTTACGTTCTAAGGTATTGAATAGCCCCATGATCGACTCAAGACGTTCATGGGTTCAATATCAGTCTGCAGAACACGGCCGGTAAGTTGACTACGCGATCGTAGCTTAATTCGCTATCAGTTTTCACAAGAAAGAGGTTCCACATAACCACTGACTCTGACGGGCGTATCGTTACCGCTTGTGAACAGAGAGCATCTTGAGTTGTAAAACTAGCGCAGGACCCAATTTCAATGGAACCCACACGTGTTAGCTACAGCCAATTATCAGCACAGTATTACCCTATGCGTAGGGCGTAGTCGCAAGCAGATTGCAACCCCCCAGCTTTAGTTGTAGGGAGGAGAGCCAAGCACTCGGACTGGACCCGTAGCCGGCCCGAGCAGCCGAGTCAGGCACGCAGAACTTCTACTGCTCTAGGCCCGTGTACTTGCCGTATAGTGAGGCCGTGGGTTAGAAAGTCCGGGGTGCATTACTCGGCGAAACAGAGCCCCATTCGTCACGGACAGGCCGCTCAAAGGTTGCCCTGGTCGTTGTGGGGAGATGTTCCCGTTCACACTGTGGAATGTATGTGTACTTACACAGCTTCGTGAACCATGGGCCCTAGGAGAAAGAACAATCAACATCCACTTTCAATAACCCCCTCCTACCCGTAGTACTACCCCGTACAAACGCACTGTTGATCGTCTGAAACTCTATTTCCACCAGTTGCAAGAAAGAAAATTCTACCGATTGATTGCCCGTGCCCTGTACAGCTCTTCACCGAGGTGGGAGGTTGTCGGACCCCGAGAATCCATAGGGTTGAAAGAGATACTAGATACAGAACCTCCCGCCGGGACATCACAACGGTCGTCCCGAAGGTGGATAGCTGCCGGCTGGTATTCGCAGATCCCTCTCCCGAAACGGCGTGGTCTCTTGCCCCGTGCAGGTCGTCTACAATCTAAGTGGCCATGCTAACTCGGTGAGCCCCTCGGGATATAATCTCAGGATCGTGGGGTCTGGAAGTTTGACAATGAATCATGTTCGATGATAGAATGTGAGATTCCTGAAAGTCATCGTGGATGGAGACCCTCTGCTTCTGCTACGCACGTATGCAGTTCTGGTCACAGGGTCTACCCTCAGGATACCTGGCCGAGTTCATGTTGACATTATTCGCTCAAGATAGTCGGTCACCACGAGTGGGCATCGAGGGGGCCATGGAAAGCGTTCCCAGTTGCCGTGATAAGTGCTGCTGGTGCCCATCGACGCTGTTGGATTTAGGTAGCTTGAGAGAGTTGTTCGCGGTAGCCTCGTAAAGACCAATATACCATTTGACTTTTCAGAGTTCTTGTTTTCATTTTCATCATGGGGTCTCACAACGTTCGTCGGGATAACATCCCCATTGCTGTGGTCGGCCTAGCCTGCCGACTTCCCGGCGATGCCACCAGCGCGACAGAATACTGGAACATGTTGAAAGAGGGGAGAGGTTAGTAACTTCACAACTTTGCGCTTGGAACATGGAACGCCGCAAGCAACCGGCCAGCCAGACAGAAAGACAGATCACTGACACACATCACCAAACCGCAGATGGCTACTCACCCGAGACAAACCGCTACAACACATCAGCCTTCTACCACGCCAACCCCAAAGACAGGCAAAACGTGCTGCCGACCAAGGGTGGGCACTTCATCAAAGAGGACCCCTACGCCTTCGACTCGTCTTTCTTCAAGTTCTCCGCCGCCGAGGCCGCCGTCCTCGACCCCAAGCAGCGCATCCTGCTCGAGGTGACGTACGAGGCCCTCGAGAACGCCGGCCTGCCGCCGCCGCGCATGGCCGGCACGCGGACCGCCTGCATCATCGGCACCGCGTGGAGCGACTACCGCGACGCCCTCGTGCGCGACTTCGAGCAGTGGCCGCGCCTGTATTTGATGGGCGTCAGCGACGAGATGGTCAGCAACCGCCTGTCACACTTTTTCGACCTGCGCGGGCCGAGTTTGACGGTCGAGACGGCGTGTTCGTCTAGTTTGGTGGCTATTCACCAGGCGTGCGAGAGTCTGCGGTCTGGCCAGGCAGAGGTGCGTTCATGAATCTCTATCACACGTCTTGTTAGCTATCTTGTATCACTCACACGACACCCAGATGGCCGTCGCAGGCGGAATCAACATGATCCTCGGCCCCGAGGCAACCATGGAACTCAACAGTCTGGGCGTGCTCAACCCAGACGGCCGCTCCCTCTCCTTCGACGAGGGCGCCAACGGCTACGGCCGCGCCGAGGGCTGCGGCATCGTCATCCTCAAGCCGCTGGACCAGGCCGTCCGCGACGGCGACCACATCCGAGCCGTGGTCCGCGGCAGCGGCGTCAACTCGGACGGCTGGACCAAGACCATCTCCACGCCGTCTGCCTCGGCCCAGGCCGAGCTGATCAAGCTGGTCTATGAGTCCAACGGGCTCGACTACGACGCGACGCAGTACGTCGAGGCCCACGGGACCGGCACCAAAGTCGGAGACCCGATCGAGCTGGGCGCGATCCATGAGACGATTGGCCGCAATGCGAGCGAGTCGAGAAAGCTGTACGTGGGCAGCGTGAAGGCGAATATTGGACATCTTGAGCCTGCTGCCGGTGTGGCGGGCTTTATTAAGGGCGTTTTGGCCCTGGAGCACGGCAAGATCCCGCCCAACGTCCACTTTCACAAGGCCAATCCGAGAATTCCCTTTGATAAGTGGAATATGGTGGTACCAACGTCACTGACCCCTTGGCCTGAGGCCGAGACAAAACGCATGAGTGTCAGCAGTTTCGGCATGGGCGGAACCAACGCCCACGTCGTCCTCGAGGAGTTCAAGAAGACACCAAAGCAACTGACGAATGGGGTTCACATCAATGGTAATGCGTCCTCTAAAGACGTCGTTGTTGATAAGAAGAGACTCTTCGTTTTCAGCAGTCACGATCAAGCTGGCATCAAGCGCGTCTCAACCACGCTGGCGCAGCATCTCGACAAGGTTCGGAGTGAAAACCCAACCTGGACACCCGAGAAGGGTGAGCCCGAGTACCTGGCCAACTTCGCGCACACACTCGCCACCGCGCGCTCCAGTCTGGGATGGAAAGCCAGTTGCCTGGCAAGCAGCTTCTCACAACTGCAGTCCCAGCTGGCCGCCGCGCCTTCAGAGGACACCTGGAAGATCTCCCGCGCCTCATCCGATCCGAAGCCGTTGCGCGTAGGCTTCGTCTTCACCGGCCAGGGCGCCCAATGGGCCGGCATGGGCATCGAGCTCCTCTCGCGCCCCGTGTTCCGGGCCTCAGTCGCCCGGTCGGCCGCCATCCTCGAGAGCCTCGGCTGCACCTGGGACCCTGTGGCCGAGTTGTCGAAGACGGGCAAGGGGTCCCGGCTCGGCCAGCCCGAGATCAGCCAGCCCATCTGCAGCGTCCTGCAGATCGCCCTCGTTGACGAGATCCGCTCGTGGGGCTCCCCGGTCCTCAGCAAGCCGGCCAAGGTCGTCGGCCACTCGAGCGGAGAGATCGCGGCGGCTTACTGCATGGGGGCTCTGACACACCGGGACGCGCTCGTTGTGGCATACTCCCGCGGGACGACTTCGGCTCTACTGCCGACGGTTGCGCCCCATCTCAACGGCGCCATGATGGCGGCGGGATGCTCCCGCGAGACGGCCGAGGGCCTGATCGAAAAGCTCGGACTGTCTGGACAGGTCGGCGTGGGGTGCGTCAACTCCCCGTCCAGCATCACACTCTCGGGAGACTCGGCCGCGATGGACACGATAGCTGCTGCGTTGGACGAGCAAAAGACATTTTGCCGGCGGCTCAAGGTCCAAGTGGCCTACCACTCGTCCCATGTCGCGACCGTTTCCGGCGAATACTACCAGGCCATGGTCTCGGAGGGTGTCGAGCCCATCGCTGTCAGCGCAGACGAGGGAGCTCCTCGTATGATCTCCAGTGTGCTGGGCGACGAGGTGTCCTCAGAGCAGTTGGGACCCTTCTACTGGCTGCAGAACTTCACCTCACCAGTATTATTCTCCGACGCCCTGAAGAGGCTGGTCCTGCCGGAGACCGAGACCGAGAACGAGAACGAGCCTGACATCGACTTACTCGTCGAGATCGGGCCCCACAGCACCCTGGGCGGGCCCATCGAGCAGATCCTCTCGCACCACGGCGTGAAGAGCGGCGCCGTGGCCTACCAGGCGGTCCTCCGCCGCGGCGCCGACGCCACCGAGACGAGCCTGAGGATGGCTGAGCAGCTGTTCCACCTCGGTATCCCGCTGGATCTGGCCAAGGTCAACGGCGATGAGTCGCCGGCGGTCGACCTGCTCACGGACCTGCCCCCGTACCCCTGGATGCACGACAACAAGTACAATGCTTACCCAAGGGTGCAGAGAGAGCGTTGGTTCCGAGACCAGCCCGCTAAGGGCCTTCTAGGTGCTCCGACGCCAGTGATGCGGGAGAAGCAGCACGTCTGGCGCGGCTTCATCCGTCTCGATGACGAGCCGTGGCTGCGCGGGCACACCGTCGGCGACACGGTCGTCTTCCCCGCCGCCGGCATGATCAGCATGGTACTCGAGGCGGCGCAGCAGCTGGCCGAGCCTGGAAAGGCAATCCACGCCCTGCGCTTACGCGATGTGTCTGTCATGGCTGCAGTGTCGATTTCCGAGGGTGTGGCCACAGAGGCGGTGGTAAACATGACCCGTGCTGGGTCGGGCCAGGGACCTTGGTGGGAATTCACCTTGTCATCGGCCAACAACAACACCAACTCCAGCCAGCTGCGAGACAACTGCCGCGGTCTCATCGCCATCGACTACGCGGCCGCTAAGAGCGAGCACATGGAGCGTGAGGAGGCTCACGTTGTCGCGCAGCGGGCGGCACAGTACCAAGAGGCCGTTACCGAGCTCCATCAGACCGTTGCAAAGGACGACTTCTACTCGCAGATCGCGCAGGGCACTGGCTTCAAGTACGGCGAGCTCTTCCAGGGTGTTGAAGACCTATTTGTCGGGCCGGGCAAGACCCACTTCCGGCTCCGTGTCACGGACATCGGCAAGACGTTCAGCCAGGGACAGGTGGGCCCGGACTCGGCCCAGAACCGGGACTCGCACCGCGGCACGCGACCGTTCCTTATCCACGCGGCCACACTCGACGCCATCTTCCAGTGCTGGGTCGGCGCCACATACCGTGGCGGTGTGCTGGGCCTGAAGCCGTTCGCGCCTACGCGTCTCGGCGCGATGGAGATCAGGATGGACGTGCCTGGTGCACCAGACGATATCATGGCCGGCTTCAGCACCAACAAGCGCCACGGCTTCCATGAGCAGACAAACGACATGTTCCTTTTCGACCCGAAGCTCGACAAGATGTACATCGCGATTGAAGACTTCCGCATTTCGGAGCTCGACGTTGCCGGCGGCCAGGATGAGCAAGACGGCAGCCCTGACACCGTTCTCGACGGGCCCGGCGCATCCGTCACGGCCGAAGTACGATGGGATTACACCATGAGTCTGCTGGAGGAGTCTGACGTCGCAAAGGCCGTCGCAGCACCCCAGACTCAGCCTGGGGAGGGCATGGCCAGGCTGATCACCATGCTGCTCCACGAGAAGCCTTCAGCTGCGGTGATCGAACTGGTGCAGGACCGCAAGGCTCTTGCCGAGGGCCAGTCCATCGTGAACGGCGTCGTTGGCCAATCGCTGCCGAATGGCGCAGTGCCCCCCTCCAACATTCGCTACGCGCTGGCGCAGGGTGACGGTGTCACCGAGACCGAAGCCGCTGCTACACTGGTCGGTGAGGCACTGCCGCTGGATCAGGCCACCCAGGACGCTACATCTGCTGATATGTTGGTCGTTTCGCCGCCTCTCTCCCAGAACCTGGTGGGTGATGACAATACCCTCTTAGATTCTTTTGTCGGCCTGGCCAAGGCGGATGCTACCCTCGTCCTCTCCTCGAATAGTCGTCAGGCTCTCGCAGCAAACACGCTATTCCTCCAGTCCAAGGGTTGGCGAGTCGTATCAACACTTTTTACAGGTGATGACAATGCGGTTGTAGCCCTGTTCAGATATAGCCCGGACGCAGATCTGCAGAACGGCGAGACAACATCGGCTCACAACTTCGTCATTGTCCTACCCTCCGAACCATCGCCTGCCACTCAAGACTTCTCCAAGACGCTCGAAGACAAACTGATTTCCCAGGGAGAGACCGTGGTGGTGAAGTTCTGGGATCAAGTCGCTGGTTCTGCATCAGGAGTGAACGACAGCGACTCATCTTCTCCCGCCGCCGTCGTATCTCTGTTGGAACTCGAGCAGCCCATGCTAGCTGATCTTTCTGAGAGTGACTTCCAGGCCCTTCAAAGTCTCATCCTACAGAGCGAGCGAATCCTCTGGGTGACCGGAGGCGGCGATGACCCGTCCTTCTACGTCGTGGACGGCCTCGCACGAACCGTCGCCAACGAGAAGGCCAGCCTGCGGTTCCAGACACTCCATCTCAGCAGCCCGTCTGCAGCATGCGGACCGTCGCTCGCCGGCCGGATCCTCGCCAGCGATACTTCCGACAACGAGTTCCGCGAGGTACAAGGTTTGCTGCAGACGTCTCGCGTGTACAAGAGCGCGGTGGGTGAGCGGCGCATCGCCCGCCACCTCAAGGACGCCACGCGCATAGTGCCTCTGGCCCAGGAGAAGTCGCCCGTCCGCTTGGCCATTGGCCGTCCTGGTCTACTAGACACGCTCCACTTTGTCAAGGACGAGCGGACACTCGAGCCGCTTGCCGACACAGACGTCGAGATCAGCGTGCGCGCCTCAAGCATCAACTTCAAGGACATCATGGGCGCCATGGGCCTGGTCCCGGTGCCGATGCTGGGCTTGGAAGCCAGCGGTATCGTGACACGGACCGGTGCCGCGGTCAACAACGTCAAGGTCGGCGACCGTGTTGCCGCCCACGCGTACGGAAGCCACGCCACAGTTGTCAGAACACACCACGCCGTCGTCCACAAGCTGCCTGAGTCAATCACCTTCGAACAAGGTGCCGCCATCAACCTGGTGCACGTCACGGCGTACTACGCCCTTGTGCGTCTGGCCAAGCTGCGTAAGGGCCAGTCGGTCCTGATCCACGCCGCGGCTGGCGGAGTCGGACAAGCCGCCATCCAGCTCGCCAAGTACCTGGGCCTGGTCATCTACGTGACCGTCGGTTCCGAGAGCAAGCGACAGCTCATGCGGGAACGCTTCGAGATCCCGGGGGAGCACATTTTCCACTCTCGCGACCTGAGCTTCGTCAAGGGCGTCCAGCGCGTCACCGGTGGCCGCGGCGTCGACTGCATCCTCAACTCACTCGCCGACGAGCTGCTTCGCGCCTCGTGGGATTCCGGCTGCCTGGCGCCCTTCGGCACGTTTGTCGAGATCGGTCTGCGCGATATCACCAACAACTCACCGCTCGACATGCGGCCCTTTGTCAAGAACGCGACGTTTGCCTTCTGTGATATCCTCAACTACCCTGTTGATGACCTTGGCAGTGTCCTCGGTGAGGTCTACGGCCTCGTCGAGCAAGGCTATCTCTCGCCTGCCTATCCGCTCAAGGCATACCGCCCCAGCCAGGTCGAGGAAGTCTTCCGCGTCATGCAGCAGGGCAAGCACACCGGCAAGGCCGTCATCACCTTCAATGCCGAGGATGATAACGAGGGAGCTCCCGTCTTCCAGCGCGCTGCCGATCTGTTCCGTCTCGATCCGGACGTTACCTACCTCCTGGTCGGCGGCATGGGCGGCCTTGGCCGCAGTCTGGCGCGAAACCTCGCCGCCGCGGGCGCTCGCCATATTGCCTTCCTCTCACGCTCTGGTGATGCCTCGGCCTCGGCCCAGACCTTGCTCAATGAGCTGACCACGCGCTGGAATGTCAAGGCCCGCGCATACGCAGCAGACGCAGCCGATGCAGCATCCCTACAAGCAGCCATGGCGGTATGCGAGCGCGAGATGCCGCCAGTCCGCGGCGTCGTTCAACTAGCCATGGTGCTGCGCGACGTCGTTTTCGAGAAGATGCAGCCCGCGCAGTGGACGCAGCCACTCCAACCCAAGGTGGCCGGATCGCGCAACCTGCACGAGTACTTCGGCGCGGACCGCCCCCTCGACTTCTTCGTGCTGTGCTCATCCGTATCCGGTGTCGTCGGTAACCCGGGCCAGGCGGCATACGCGGCTGGAAACACATATCAGGACGCGCTGGCAGCATACCGCCGCAAGCGCGGACTCAAGGCCGTGGCCGTCGACCTGGGCGTCATGCGCGACGTCGGCGTGCTGGCCGAAGGCAACACCGAGAGCGGTGTGCTGGGCCGCTGGGAGGAGGCCGTCGGCATCCCGGAGCCCATCTTCCACGCGCTCATCAAGAGCGTCGTTCACGGCCAGAAACAGGAGCAGAACTCGGAAGAGGCTGTCCCTGCACAGGTAGTCACCGGCTTGGGCTCAGCCGACGTCTGGGCAGCCCACCGCCTCCCTCAGCCGTTCTACCTCTCGGACCCGCGCTTCAGCCCCATGGCCATAGCCACGTCAACCGGCTCGTCTTCTGATAACAACGCCGAGGCCGCTGCCATGGTGTCGATCGCTTCGCAGCTCGCGAGCGTGTCGTCGATGCAGCAGGCGGCCGAGATCGTGACCGACGCGCTCTCGAAGCGGACGGCCGAGATCCTGCAGATGCCGGCGTCCGAGGTAGACCCCGCGCAGCCGCTGTACCGTTACGGCGTCGACTCATTGACTGCCATTGAAGTCCGTAACTGGATCGCGCGAGAGCTCAAGGCGAACATGGCGCTGCTGGAGATCGTGTCGGCGGTGCCCATCCGCGAGTTCGCGGCCAAGATTGCTGAGAAGAGCCAGCTGGTCAAGATTACGGAGTAGAATGAAAAGAATGAAGGATATGAAGCTGTGTGTGTTTCAAATTAGCGAACTGAGCGTGTTTTACGCGTCAATTGGGTCTGGGAAGGCGTTGGTGGCTCAAATTGCTTTCGTGGAAGCATCGATGGTGTTGTGATTGACGGTGGTGTCGTCGAAAACTGGAGACAGGGTGGTCCAGGGGGGGAGAATCCATGCGTAAGGGCTGACAACATCTGGCAGCAGGTGGCCTCCAAAAGTCTCGTTATATGTCTGTTGTATTGTCCAACGCATGTTTACTATTGTTCTTGTACACCTTTGCACTCATCCTACTCGTTCTATCCTCAGGTTGAATTGAAGTGAAATCTAATCAAATGCTTTCCTATTTGGAGTACCTAGGTAGTCTCATGTCAGCAAACGAAGTATGTGTTGACATCCGCGTGCGATACAACGGAACCTGCGTCGTCCGATTTGCGATGTAAACCAAGCTCGGCATCGGTGCGAGTACGAGATTTGGGTGGCATCACATGGTTACCTATCCGCGAGGTCGTAGTCCTCATCGCGACTAATAAAGTGACGTCGTCGCATCGTGCATTGCCGCGGATACGCTCGTATTGCCATCCGTCAATACGATTGACCGGACTCACGGAGACTACACATCACCGTCGAATATCTTCGCCAGCAGCCTGTCCATCTAAATAGTTTAAAGGATGGACCTCTTCAAGCCCTCCCCGCCCATTCATCTCATCGACAATCTAATATTCGTCTTAAACCTATATCCTTCCCTAACCTGTAGGTATGTCCTCTAACGGCATTTTTATGAAGGCACCGGCAATGGTGCCGCAGTATGTTTTTGCCGGAGTGGGTATCCTGGCAGTCGTAAGTCTTCCTGTCCGCTCTTCCGTCCAACGTGTACGCTCTCTCAACGGTTCCGCAACGTCTTCTAGTTGATCTTATGGTTCTCTCTCAATGCCGCCTACAACATCTGGTTTCATCCACTCAGCAAATATCCGGGGCCGCGGTGGCAAGCGGCAAGCCGCCTTCCATACACGATTCAGATCTTCAGAGGAACAGCCACGCGAAATACAGCGCGTCTTCACGAGATCTACGGCCATGCTGTTCGAATAACCCCCAACACCTTATCTTTCACCAGCAGTCAAGCATGGGACGGTGAGTCGGAATAATCCTTCTCATACCGTTCCGCAGCTGAGCGCTAACGCTCTCGTGGAGACATATACGGTCTCAGACGACAAAATGGAAGAGCAAACTTCCCCAAGGATCCAAGCTTTTACATTACACCTCCCGGAGAGGCTGACACCATCGTGCGTGATAACTGTTCTCGCGTCGGCTCGAACACGAAAGCTGACTCGCGCCCCAATAGTCCACAGCAAAAGATGCTGACCATCGCCGACTGCGACGAATCCAAGCGCATGCCTTTTCTGAGAAAGCACTATCGCTACAGGAGGGCTTTCTCAAGCAGTATACTACCATGTTCATATCTCGATTACACGAGGGTATTAGCCAGCCAGGCGGAGATGTTGTCAATATCACCCGTTGGCTCAACCTTCTCACAACCGACATTATTGGTGAGCTTACATTCGCCGAGAGCTTCGAAGGCCTCAGCAAAGATCGGCTTCATCCCTGGCTCGAAATGGTCTTTTTGACTCTGAAAGCCTTCACCTTTATGCGGGAGCTGACTCGGCTGCCGCCTGTCTTCATGCGTCTTGCCATGGCATGCATTCCCGCAAACATGCTCAAGCATCAGCGGGCAGCTGTCGCTTTTGGTGCCAAGGCTGCGAAAAGGCGAATGGGGCTCGGTACCGAGCGGCCGGATTTCATGTCGTACATTCTTCGCCAGACGGGCGAACAACGGTACCTCGCTACCATGGGCTCATTGCATTCCTAGCCGTTTTGCTGACACGCGGACTCCTTAGCATGACGGAACCAGAGATTGAAGCAGCGGCAATCACATTCATCGTTGCGGGCAGCGAGACCAGTAAGTCTGCAGTACCGTCCTGTCTCCTGTACTTCCTTAGCACTCGTCGGCTGATCCTACCTGAGCGGCCACTATGCTTTCTGGCACCGTCTATCTCCTGTGCCAAAATCGACCTGTCATCGAAAGGTTGACGTCTCTTGTTCGGACCGACTTTCCCAACGAGTCTGACCTCACCTTGGTCAAGCTCCAGCAACACGAATACCTCAATGCCGTTCTTCAAGAGGGGCTGCGCCTCTATCCGCCTGCGCCTGACAACCTCTTCCGAGTGACTCCAAAAGCCGGAGGATATGTGATGGGTCATTTGCTGCCCCCAAAGACTAGCTTGACTATGAACCTTTGGGCGGCCAACCGGTCGGCGGAAAACTTTCATCGCCCCCTTGAATTTATCCCGGAAAGGTGGGTGAAAGATGCCCCAGTTGAGTTCCGCCAGGATGATAGGAACGCTATGAGACCGTTCAGCGTGGGACCTAGGGATTGTTTGGGGAAGAAGTAAGCTGCGATCCCACAAAGTCGCCTGAACTCATTCTGTGCCTCGCTTAACTAACCATTTCGACAGCCTTGCATGGGCGGAGATGCGCATGATTCTGGCATATTTGGTTTGGAACTTCGATCTCGAACTCCAATCGGATAGCCAAGATTGGATTGAAAGACAGAAGGTGTTCATGCTTTGGGAAAAGCCAGACCTGAACGTAAAGATTTCCCGGGGACATTGACGAGAACGCAGATCGGAGCATGGCTAGACAGCACTTGATGAGAACAATTAGCACTTTCTTTGGAAATAATCCTGGGCAAGATCGCTACCAATACACAACCCAGCAAATTTCATGAGTTCTACAGCTTGATGTTGAATCGATGAACGTGACAGCAAACAGCTCCCCTCCTCAAAAATACCAACGCATGGGTGTCCCAATCTGCTACCCAACAGCAGAGGTTTTCCGACAGATAATAGGGGCACCCGTGGGATGGCTGAATTGGGTTTCATTCCAGGAGAAACTTAGTGTAGCACCAACTGTCCAATGTATGATTTTCTCGGGACCATGAACTCATTCGAGCACAGTGAGGTATGAACCCGGCAGAGCGGTCCGATGCTAGCGGTAGATACCTCCCGGATGAGATTCCAGCCAGTAATTCATATCCACAGCACGATGCTTGCTTAGACACCAAAAGATTCGCCGAATCTCACACCGGCCGGATGCCGTGATTCCCCATGAAGTTATAGGTAGTCAGACGCTCACAAACTTCGCTTCCGGTTGGTGTTGAAGGTGACCCGGTCATCCCCGGAGGACGAAATTGCTACCATTCCCCCACCCCGGTCAGCCGGTACCCCCGCAAAGTGCCTGCTGATAGACGTCATGTTCCTGGCAGTATTCCCGGAAGCGCTCCCCGTCCCCCTCATCCTGCCCATTTCTCCTCACGATGTGGAGGCCCTGCGGAGGAACTCCGCACCTCAAACCTATCATTCATCGCAACTGCGCAACGTAGGATGAGGTTCCTGAAGTAAAGTTCGCAAGTCTTGATGTTCTGGGAAAAAATCCTTGGCTCGGCCGAGAAACGCACCGATTCGATCGTCGCACCAGCGGTGAGCCGGCTACTCTTCGGGGATTTATATAAGTCCGTGTTGTTACATAACGTATTAAACGGGGCTTCAGTGACCATACATAGATACATAGGTACTCACAGCCATCGTGGCCGACGCCTTGTCTCACCACCCGACTTTTCGAGAGTCAACCCGTTCGGAATGTGGTCGACTGGAAGCTTGGCTGCTCTTGCGCAGCTTCTCGCGCTTTCGACAGGCGTCGCAGCCGTCGCGCAGTCGCCAGAGGTTTACCCGTCACGTGAGTCTCGTTGCCCGTCCAACAACCCTGGGCGCGTCAACAAATCAACAACTGACGTAATTGCGAATTAGCATCTGGAAAGGGATCAGGAGTTTGGAAGGATGCGTACGCCAGCGTGCGCAAATTAGTAGACCAATTGACCTTGGAGGAAAAGGTCAACATTACTCGTGGATTTGCGAGCGATAATGTCTGCGCTGGCAATACGGGGTCAATCCCGCGGCTGGGGTGGCCTGGGATGTGCCTTCATGATGCAGGCAATGGCGTGAGAGCGACCGATCTTGTCAATTCGTATCCTTCAGCTCTGCACATCGGCGCCACTTGGGACAAGAACTTGACTTACCACCGTGGATACTGGATGGGAAAGGAGTTCAAGACTAAGGGAGGTGAGTGCAAGGTAATTGACAACTTCTAATTTGGGGAGGTCATTGACGGTTTACTCAGTAAATGTTCTACTGGGACCCAATGCAGGTCCTCTTGGAAGATCACCTCTGGGTGGCAGGAACTGGGGTAAGAAACACTCATCTCAGCTGCAAGTTTCGTAACGATACTAAACTCGTGCAAAGAGGGTTTCTCGGTTGACCCGTACTTGTCGGGACAGCTCAACGCGGAGACCATCATTGGTCACCAAGATGCCGGTGTCATTGCCAACCTGAAGGTGCGTATTTACGCTCAAATTGCGGAAAAAAAAGAAGACAAAAACTTGTTCCTGACCTTGCTCGATAGCACTTCATCGGAAACGAGCAAGAAACCTACAGAAGGCCATACTTTGGTGTCGAAGCCGCATCGTCCAACATCGACGACAAGACCCTGCATGAGTTCTACCTCTGGCCCTTTGTCGATGGTGTCAAGGCCGGTGCTGCATCCATCATGTGTTCCTACAACAGAATCAACAACACCTACGGCTGCGAAAACAGCAAACTCATGAACGGCGTCCTCAAGGGTGAGCTCGAGTTCGATGGGTTTGTGCTTCTCGACTGGAACGCGCAGCACAATCTCCAGAGTGCCAATTCTGGCCTGGACATGGTCATGCCTCTTGGGGGAAGTTTTGGTCAGAACTTGACCGATGCTGTCAACAATGGTGCCGTCGACGAGTCTCGAGTGACGGATATGGCTACAAGGTAATTCATCCCAATTCAAACAATCCACGAGACGTCATTAACCTCTTCCAGAATTCTTGCGGCCTGGTACCTTGTTGGCCAGGACTCAGACTTCCCCACTCCCGGGATTGGTATGAAGAATCTCACAGAGCCTCATGAGCAAGTCGATGCTCGCGACCCAGACTCGAGGTCAAACATTCTCGAGGGCGCAATTGCCGGACACGTCCTCGTGAAAAATGAGAACAATGCCCTCCCCTTCGCTAAAGCGCCCAACATGATCTCGGTCTTTGGGTATGATGCCACGGTACCCGGCACGAAGAACACTGACAAGCTGTTTGAGCTTGGCTACTACTCCTCTCCAGAGATGGGCCAGGCCGTGCTAGGCACCGAAAGACACTTCGACCAAGCGGCCAAGGGAGGAACCATCGTCAGTGGAGGCCGCGCTGCCGCCAATGCGCCGTCTTATATCCTCGATGTAAGTAAAAGCCCATTATTCATTTCCAGATTTGGCTAACCCATTGTAGCCCCTCAGCTCCATCCAGCACAGAGCAGCCAAAGACGGTAGCTGGGTAAACTGGGACCTCACATCTCCCAATCCCGACGTCAACGCCGCCAGTGACGTCTGCCTCGTCTTCATTAACGCCATGGCAACGGAAGGATGGGACCGTGACGGCCTCCACGACGATTTCAGCGACGGTCTCGTCCTCAGCGTGGCCTCCAAATGCCCCAACACCATCGTCATCATTCACGCCGCCGGCATCCGTCTCGTCGACCAGTGGATCGACCACCCCAATGTCACCGCCACCGTCCTCGCCCATCTTCCCGGCCAAGACAGTGGTGAAGCGCTCGTGCAGCTCCTCTACGGCGAGTCCTCCTTCTCCGGAAAGCTCCCCTACACCCTCGCCAAGAACGAGAGCGACTACTCTGTCTACAAGCCCTGCGGGCGCGGTGAGACGAACACGACGAGTCCGCAGTGCGACTTCACAGAGGGCGTTTACATTGACTACCGCGACTTCGATGCTAAGAACGTCACTCCGAGATACGAGTTTGGGTATGGGCTGAGTTACACCAGCTTCGAGTACTCGTCAATCTCAGTCAAGAAGCAGGATACGCAGGCAGGCTTTGCGGCAAACTCTGATGCCTTATGGTCTACCGTCGCAACCATCCACGCCACGCTGAACAACACGGGGTCCCGCGCGGGAGAGGAAGTCGCGCAGCTGTATGTTGCCATTCCGAACAGTCCGCCTAAACAGCTTCGTGGGTTTGAGAAGGTGGCCCTTGAGAGTGGACAGGGTGCGGACCTGCAGTTCGAGTTGACAAGGCGGGATTTGAGTGTGTGGGATGTCGTGGCTCAGAAATGGACTCTTCAGGAGGGCGATTATACCGTGTTTGTGGGTGCGAGCAGCCGAGACTTGCCTCTGTCGCAGGTCCTTTCGATCTGAGCCCGAGCATCTTCAGTTGAGGACTTTCCTTCCCTCTTGAATTCTTCATACTTAGTCTGATGATGAACTTATGGTCAAGTTGTTTCGTCCTCCGTGAGTTTGAGTACACAGATGTATACACATCTGCCCAATCAGACACTTCAAAGAGATAAAATACGGGGGAAGCGACTTCTCCGCTTTATCCGTGTACAAACCTTTGGAGGGCCCCGCTTCTCCTGAGACATCATCGTATGCACTAGAGAAGTTCAAAAAGCAAAAACAAGGTCCATCCAGGATTCGAACCTGGGCTTACGGAAGATCCTGAGATCATCAGAATCCGACGTCCTAACCAACTAGACTAATAGACCAATTGAGTTGATCCAGCCGTGATGGGCTGGTGTAAGCACTTCTGCAGAAAATGTGGAATATGTTGCGTGGGTTTAGCCCTTGTGGACCTCAAGTGGGGGCAAGTTTGACCAGGACCAGGATTGGCACAACACAAGCCCACCGCCATCAACACATTCAGGTCCCTTGTGAGATCTTCAATCTCTAAATATGACTATTTATTGTGAGCCTTGTGGCTTCAAAACGAATGTTGCCATGAACCTGCCCCATTGTATCAATACCCGAACCGCTCCAGGCACTCAATCAACTCCTTCTCACCAGCAGCCCGCATCTCCACAATCTGCTCCGCCGTCTTTCTCTTCAACATGACTGGGTGATGTAGCGTGAATGGAGCAAGAAGGCTTTCCAGCTTCCGAAGTTGTTCCAGCGCAGCCATGCCAGCAATTTCACTTGGTCTCAGCGCCCCTCTCTCAGCCAATGCGTCATCCCATGCCTTTGCTCTCGCAAGTTGCCCGACCGCCTCTTCTGGAAAATCGGGGATGTCGAAGTTGCCTGCCAGCATTGCGTTGGCAATTTTACCATCGCTCAAGTCGGGGTCCCTTGCAGTGCCGCCGTTGGTGCTGCCTCCAATGTCTCCAAAAGAGGTGAAGAACTCATGGGCTGGATGAGAGATGTAAGCCCAGTCAAAATCAAGAACTCCCGTGATCTGTTTTGTTGCAGGGTCGTATTGGATGTTGTTGGTAGCTGATGTTCATGTTAATAAACACACCTCGGGAGAGCAAGAGTCCCCCCTGACTTACTGAGGTCGCCGTGAATCAGCACGCGTTGCGTCTCATCGACGCCAGCTCCAGCAAGATACTGGTCAAGTCCACTCAGAATGAACTTGTCGATACGTTCGCGAACACCGTTCGGCTTCCAACCTTGCAGATTCGAGCTCCCTTCCGCATCGCGCAGGCCAAATTCCAACTTGGACTTCCAAAAGTCGGTGTACGAATTCCATGGTGCGCCTTCCAGAATTGTCATCTTGCCACCCACGATATTTCCAGACTCATCGATGGTCAATCCGCCATGCAACTTGATGCTCTCAGGCAACGGCGCTCGCTGAATACCTGTGAAGACATCTGCAATCTGACCAAGCACAGTCTTCTTCTCATCGTCTGATAGGTCCTTGAACTTGGTGTCAAGCGGCACGCCGTGCTTGAAATCCATCAAAGTCCAGTCATAGCCATCACCTGCGCCTTGAGCTGAACTCCACGCAAAGACGGCTGGAATGAGCCCGGCGGCATCAGGTTTGAAAGCTTGGAGGCCCTGGCGAGCGATGTACATCGCTGCGACCTCGTTCTCGACTCGGTTATCCTGGATGATGTCCATGGCTTTGGGATTAGCTAGCCGCATGACGAAGGTTGAGATGCCTCCCTCTGGCGGAAGCGTAGTGTACGAGCCAGCATGAAGGAAATTGTCCTTGGTGGCTGGCTTGGCCAAAGTGATTTTGTAGATGAAGTTATTGTAAGGAAATGGGACATCCTCTTGGTATTCCACAGGTGTGATCTCGGTGGGCTATATTTGGTATCAGTAAAGTGGGCTTTGAGAGTGAGTAGTGGTTATTACCTCGAGACCGAACCCAATCAACGTGCTCCTGGCGAAGTCAAGACGCTCTTGAAATTGTTCGTGATTCATGATGGGCAGAGACGACTTGTCAAAAATATCGTATATTGTTGTTGAAATAAGCGTGCGGGGTTTCGTGGTGAATGGATCTTAGGATTGTTTTAAATATGCCACAAGTGTGTTGTTATTGACCCTAGAGAGGTATCTTTCGGCCACGCTCCAGGTAGCTCTTACCAAGCCAGTAACCACAATCGAATTTGCACCTTCCCTTACACTATCTAGTTGAGTCATACCACCAATTTGGAAGGTGAACCCCAGAAAACTGCTCGTCCTCTAAATTGGGATGTTGCATGTTCACGATGTTGAAGCATGTGGTTTTAAAGTTGAAGCGAATCGGATCCCATCCGGTTTCTCCGGTGCTAATCAACAGCGCGCTTTTTGGCTGAGCCAAGGCTTTTCTGGTCGTTGACTGATGCCATTGTCAGCTGTGATCCTTGCCAAAAGCCCGTTGCTGCCTGAAAATACTGTTCAAACCACACGTAAATCAGCCATTTCTGCCTAAACTGTGCCGCACAGATGCATGTCGTCTTCAGAGTTCACCAAGAATTCACGTAGTTGAGCTTTGTGAATTACCGTTATTGGCTGTGTGACGTCTGTATTGCAGCATTATTTTGGGGTCACTATCTTGTCGTGCTCTTTTGTTCTCACCTATTCACATCAAACTACCATTTAATTATCTATCACAGTATTACGGATATGCTTTCCCGTATGCCATTGATTCAAGATTCCGTCAACTTGCTGCAAGCAGATTGACAGAATGAGCTTCTTGTTATTATTTGTACGGGTAGGGCCTGGAAGACTGTTGATACATGCAATTCCTGCCTATGGATGCTTCGATGAACCACATGTCTTAGGTTGTAACCTCAATTATGGCTGGAGTTGTCAGGGATACCTCGGATCAAGCTTCGAACCTCGTCAACTCATTTCTCCACCAATACAAATCCAATAAGGAATCAAGAGTGTTTGGATGTGCAAGTGGAACAACACATTTTTGTTCGCAAAAACTTTGGCCGAGTGTATACCGAGGACGGAAATAAAGAGGAACAATTGGCAATCAGTGAGATTCCACAATTTCCGCGAAGTCGCCAATCTCACTGTCCGGGGTATGAGTGGGCACTATCCCGGCGGCTCTTGTTGACCATCACGACGCGCCGGTCCTTTAAAGAGCCCTAAGAACTTGCGGCCTCCATGATTAATAAACAACTCTGTATCTCGAAGTGTTTAAGTAATTGCCTCTTCCCAAACACCACATTCGCAGTTTCCCGTGGTTCGGCCGCAATCGCTCAGTGGCCACCGGCAATAACGGCAGATACACGAGATACGGTGCGGGTCGCTGACGGCGGATATTGGCTGCGCTAGACAGCAATAGGAAGCTCAGTAGCATCGATTCATGAATGCTGATCCCCCCCACGTGCCCGGGCAATCTCATTCTCTGGATGATAGCCAATGCGACTTCGGCCGCCACATGGATGAGCGTTTATCGGCTCGCCGCGTCAGCGCGGAATGATGCGTGCAAAGATACCGGCGGGCGGCGGTCGCCAAGAAAAGCTTGTTTGCGCGGGAGCTGCATCCTCTTAAAAGCTTGGCTGCATGCAACACCCGCCTGTCGGGAAACGCTTGCATCTCCAGGTGGTCGTCGGTTTTCCTCTCGTTATTTTGCGCGGCCTGACTCGTTCTTTCATTGGATCGGTCGTTTTAGAGTTCTCAAGATGCGTTTTACGAATACCATCTTGGCGTCGCTTGGCTTTGCCATTTCCACCCCGGTCTTGGCTTGCGATAGCTGCGAACACCCCGAGAGGGATGTGGTGTTGACGAGACATGTTCGCAGGGCGCAACCTGATGCCCAGGCTGCTGCAGTCGCCCCTCGCGGCCCTCTTTCATGGGGTCAATTGAACTTTCTCCATACGACTGGTACGTTGCATTCAATGACACGAGATTGAGAACATACAGGCTGACAATGATGGTCCAGATACCCACGGCTGGTTAGTCCTTCATCGGAGACCCCAATGATCCCACACTGACTCAATCATGCAGGCTGGAAGGCCACATCCGTGAGCAAAACTATGGAGCCGACTGGGGTGACTTCGTGAGCTTCGTCAAACACATGCGCCAGAAGGCCGAAGACCTCGACGTTGATTTGTTGGTAGTCGACACTGGAGTATGTAGAAGCGATCTCATTCTCGGCGCAATGATATTGACAATATTAGGATTTGCATGATGGTGCAGGCCTCAGCGACGCCACTGGTGTTTCCACCTTCGCGAACGGCACCGGCGTTAACGGCCAAATTTCGAACCCCATTTTCGAGAACATCGACTACGATGTGCTGGCCATTGGTAACCACGAGCTGTACATTTCCAACATCGCATATGAGACTTTTAGCCAGTTCGCCAAGGTCTATGGTGACAGATATGTCACTAGCAATGTCCAAATCCGTAACCCCAGCACGGGCGCGCTTGAGTACATTGGCAAGCAATATCGTTACTTCACCACGCCGAAGGGTAAGTTGCGCTCACGAGATGTAATTGCAGTTTCGTCGAATTTAATGATCTTCCCAGGCCTCAGAATCATGGCGTTTGGCGTTCTCTTCGACTTCACCGGTAATTCAAATGCCTCGGTCGTTACTAAGGCCGCAACCATGGTCAAGCAGCCGTGGTTCTTGAGCGCTGTCGACTATAGCGAGCCTGTTGATCTTTACCTGGTCATCGGCCACAACCCTGTTCGCCCAACGCAGAGCAGCAGCACGCTCAAGACTGTTTTTGACGCGATCCGAGCCATCAAGCCCGACACGCCTGTTCAGTTCTTCGGTGGCCACACCCACATTCGTGACTTCGCCGTCTACGATGACAAGTCGACTGCTCTCGAGTCTGGAAGGTACTGCGAGACCCTGGGCTTCCTTTCCATGTCTGGCATCAAGTCCGACAACTACAAGGGTGCGGTATACCCAAAGGGCGTCCCTCACCCTGCCCAGAAGGCGGTTGCTGTGGCCACGACGACGTCCTCTAGCAGCCCTGCCTCTGCGACTGGCAACTCCACTATGACCTACTTCCGTCGCTACCTGGACTGGTAAGATCAAAGTGAGACTGACATTCTGCAGAATACTAACAGCTTTTCCAGGAACACCCTGACATTCGAGTATCACGCCGTTGGTAGCCAGGCTAAGGCCTTCAACACGTCCAAGGGCGTCAGTGTAACTCAAGAGATCACATCTGAGCGCAAGAATCTCAACCTGACGACTCTTTACGGCTGCGCTCCCCAGACTTGGTGTATCGATTGCGCGCCTTTCATGTCTGAAGGATCTATGTTCAACTTGACGACCACTGCTCTTGCAGCCACGATCATCACCGAGGAGCGAAAGGCCACTCCGAGAATCATTATCGCCAACACCGGCCATATCCGATTCGACCTCGCACAAGGCCCCTTCGACTACGACTCCTCATTCATTGTATCTCCCTTCACTGACGCTTTCGAGTACATTCCCGACGTTCCCTGGTCGTATGCCAGCCAGATTCTCAGTAACCTGGAGTCGGGAGCTTTCCCTTCAAAGAGGAAGCGTTCGTTGACGAAAGATTCTCTTGGCTTCAGCCAATTTAACCCTGCTCTGTCTTCTGTCGATAGCTGCATTGATCCGCCAGTCACCAACGACCACTTTGCGAAGCGATCTTATGCTGGGGGCCGTATCGTTCGTCGACAGGACATTACACCGGGATACACCACATCCGATGATTTCGGCACCGACGGCGACGACACTGTCCACAGCGAGATCCCGGTCTACAACTATCCCAACTTCTTCCAGGCCAACGGCAGCTTCCCTAGCGATGGATCGATTTCAGATGATACCAAGATTGACTTGATCTTCCTGGACTACATTGCCGGTTCAGTCGTGACTGTTTTGCAGTCTTTGGGAGCCAACTACACTTCTGCTGATGTTTCCTACTATCTTCCAAGCGTAAGTTCACTCTCACGGCGTAAATGAGTTTTGGTGTAGCAACTGAAGACTAACATATTACTACCTTAGACATTCACGACCAACTCCTACTTGCCCAAGTATGCAAAGGAGAGTGCTGCCTGGCAGGCCAATGTGCCCAATTGCCCTGTCGGACTTGGAATCGGATATAACACTACAACCGCTTGAGAAAGGCGACTGGAACTGTGATTGGAATTCGTTGACGGCAGGCTTTCCGTTCGTTCACGGAGTCTGGATTAGTCCCAACTTAAGAAAGCACTCGCAGAAGTACACATGGATGACTGCATGAACCAACGGGACGCGTACATATCTCCAAGAATTATACGTATAGAACTATTTTTTGGGAAACAAACGGAGCGATAATCCATTCTCTCTCTTGTGTTGTTGAGATCTATTTGCGGCCCCACAAAGTTCAGCATGGAATCGTCCGCAACTTGAATAGTCGCTTCCACACTAAAGGGGAGATTAGCGGTAGACACATCAGAGCAATTCTGGTCCTTCTCGGCCGCAACAACACGCATTCCTCTTGGCACCACATTTGCTCGCCAATAAGAGCATTCGACGGCGACCTACATCTCCACATCGGTAATTCATCTCACGATTAGGTAGTAGACGGCTATGTAGCATGATAGGTCGCCTGATCTTTTGTCGCCGCATTTTATCGTCCACTTTGTGAGGCATTTTGAATTTGGTGCGGGGCTGTAAACTGACCTTCCACATCACAGTGCAGTCTTCGCAAGTTCAATTTCCCTCACCACAACTTTTTTGACTTGCCTGCGACTTTGTTTTTGGTTCGCTGCCTTCTCAACCTGACCGATAACGCGCCATTGCGATGATGCTGAATCTCGGAGACTACACTATCAGCTGGATCTGTGCCCTCAAAACGGAATTCGTAGCCGCCCAGGCTTTTTTGGACGAGGGACATGATGAACCAGAAGGAATAGCCCAAGGCGATGACAATAATTACGCTCTTGGCAGAATGGGGAAGCATAATGTCGTGATTGCTATTCTTCCAAAAGGAGAATATGGCACTACAAGTGCTGCAACGGTTGCGAGGAACATGGTGCATAGTTTTCCGAACGTCCGCATCGGCCTTATGGTTGGCATTGCCGGCGGTGCTCCAAGCCAAAAGCATGACATTCGCCTTGGCGATATCGTTGTCAGCGGTCGTGGCAGTGGGGAAGGTGGCGTTTTTCAATACGACTACGGAAAGACAGTTCAAAATGGGTTATTTGAAGAAACGGGGCGTCTGAATCAACCACCACAAGCACTCCTAGGCGCAGTCCACGGCCTCGAGGCTGATTACGAGCTAAATGGTAACCAACTTGACTCCAAGGTTGAAGAGGCACTGGATCGCCGGCCCCGGCTACGCAGGCTTTACTCTCGTCCAAACCCGACAACCGGCAGGCTTTATCTACCGACTTATACGCACCCTTCTCATTCGAAATTAGACTGCATTGAGGTATGCAGCGATGATCCGGCTAGCCTGATCGTTCGGCGAGCACGAAGCGAAGATGACGATAACATAACTGTTCACATTGGACTGATAGCCTCTGGAAACCAAGTCATAAAAGATGCATACGTCAGGGATAGGCTGGCTGCTGAGAGAGACGTTCTTTGTTTCGAAATGGAAGCTGCAGGTCTGATGAATCATTTCCCGTGCTTGATTGTGCGTGGTATATGCGACTACTGCGACACCCATAAGAACAAGGCTTGGCAAGGTTCCGCCGCGATGGGTGCTGCCGCTTATACAAAGGACCTGCTACGTCGGATTTCCTTGACAAGAGTCGAGATGAAAACAAAATTTGCGGAAAAGCTTCGGTCAAGTCAGCAATCAAGTCGCATTTCTGAACTCAATCTTCTAACTTATTCCCAGTTGAAATGAATCAAGCACACCATCTTCACGTTTTAAATGAAATAAAAGCAGACACCAAGGGAGTTAGATTTACTCAGCATGTGGAAGCTGTCAAGACCTGGCTGACTCCTCCGGATTCATCTACAAATGCGAATCGTGCTAGAGAGCTTCGTCACGAAGGAACCGGCAAATGGTTTCTTGAATTACCCGTTTTCAGAGAGTGGGAATTTGGACCCCGTCCATCGCTATGGCTGCACGGACTACCTGGGTGCGGCAAAACTATTCTAGTTACAACAGCGTACGATTACATCGCAAGAGAGCCTGGTCGAACTGTACTTCAATTTTCCTTCGACTTCGCTGATACAGGCAAACAAACTCTCGACAACATGTTGCGCGGACTGATCTTCCAGCTATATACCCGGCAAGCTCAACCAACTGGGGAACTCAGCGATATTTTCAAGCGTTATAACAACGGCCGAGACCAACCTGATAGCAAGACTTTGTCTCACTGTCTACTAAAGATGCTCAGGGAGCGCAGAGATTCAGGCCCGGCCTACCTCTTTATCGATGCCCTTAATGAGTGCTCTGAACTATCGAAATTGCTCGCGTGGGTAGAGCGTTTTCTGGCTATTCCCGATTCTAGCCATGTCAAGCTCATCATGACTGGTCGAGTTGAGGCGGATTCAGATCAACGAATTACTTCCTTGATAAAAGCAAGTAACTGTGTGTCACTCGAAACGATGCTTGTGAACACCGACATCCAGTCATATGTTCACAATAGCCTGAGGACGAGAGCCAGATTTAGGAAATGGCTCTCAACTCCCTCGATAGTACATCGAATTAGCTCTGAAGTCGGAGGCAGAGCTGGCGGAATGTAAGTGGCTATTTCGTAATAAAACGTCTATGTAAAACCGATTTATTGACTGTGTTTTAGGTTTAGATGGGCAGCATGCCAGCTTGACAGCCTCGAAACCTGCATCGATCAAGAGGAAATAGAAGCAGCTCTGAGATGTTTGCCAGAAAGTCTCAACGAAACATATGAACGAATCCTTCCGAAGGTTCCGGAACATCGAAGGGAGAGGTCAATCCTACTCCTCCAATTCCTTGTTTTTGCACCACAGCCTTTTACCCTTGAAGAAGCTGTGGATATCATGACTGTTCATTCTGAAGGCTTCGAGGCTGAAAAAAGGATGCCCGATCCTGAGCTTATCTTGGACTTCTGTCCTGGCATGATTTCGATCGCGCACAGCACTCGAGCTTCGTATGACCGTTCTGGCATTTCCCTACATGTACCAACTAGGGAGGTTCACCTTGCTCATTTTTCAGTGAAGGAGTTCCTTCTAAGATGCCATAAGCGCTTCCACCCAGTCCAAGCTTCAATTTGTATCTTGCACACATGCTTCACCTATTACTGGAGCGTCAAAAAGACCGCAGTTGAGCACGCAATCGAAATGTGGTCCGGTACCGCAAGGCACTCACGAGATCGTAAGGAGACTGATATCAAAACCAAATTTCCTCTGTTGGAATTTGTTGTTTTGAGATGGATGGATTTTGTTTCTCGCGCCGAAGAACCCGAAGACATTGTGGAGAAGGCAGCTGATATTTTGCAAGATTCACGAAGTTTTGCGCTGTGGAGAGATTGGCAAAATCCTTTACAGCTCAGAAGACCGGCCTACTGGGAAAAGTGTGGTGTGTACTATGCATGCCGAAAAAAACTACCGAAGACAATGAAAGCCCTGATACTTCGAGACACGGATGTCGACACACATAATGGCGGGATAGCCGTTTTACGAGGGGCATCCTACTCTGGCCTCCGAGATATTGTCCAGCAACTCTTGGATATGATGCCTAAGTCTGAGAATCAACGGGACAAATACGCAGGTGCTCTGCGAATCGCTGCTAAAGAGGGACATTACGAGATTGTAGAACTGCTCTTGGACCATGGAGCGGACGTTCACGGCTGGCAGTGATCTGGTGACGTTCCCGCCCTAATAGGCGCCGCTGAAGAGGGGCATCTCGAGATTGTCAGATTATTATTGTCCAATGGTGCAGACGTTGACGCACAACATGATTGGAACGATGCTTTATCAGCGGCATCAAAAAACGGATCCCAAGAAATGGTTACACTTCTTTTGGAGTACGGGGCAGACGTCAAAACCCACGGGCGGGCTCTCGTTTGCGCCTCAGAGATGGGTCATGGCGAGATCGTCCAAATCCTGCTTAAGTACGGAGCCGATGCAAGCGCGATTGATGCCAATTTAGGAGACAGCGCCCTTTTGGGTGCTTTAAGACACGGGCACATACATATTGCAAAACTACTTGTGAGCCATGGAGCCGACGTCAGCGCCCGTAGTCACGGTATCATTGCAAAGTTTTCTGCGTGGAATATGCCGCTCTCGATTGCCTCTGACCGTGGTTACGTCGACTTCGCACGATTGCTGCTACAACATGGAGCCGATGTGAATGCACAGGATGGAGATGGAAAATTCACATATTCTTGCTGGACTACGGCCCTTCAAAATGCATCAAGTAGGGGTCACTTGGGTCTGGTTCAACTTCTTCTGGAATACGGAGCAGACGTCAACGTGCAGAATCCTCACGGAAACGCTCTAACAGCTGCCATACGCGCAAACCGAAATCAAAAGGAAACTTTGCAGCTTCTTCTGGAACATGGCATAAATGTCAATGCACAAAATATTTCAGGTAACAGAGGATTGAGCAAGGCGTGGCGTATGACGAATGCAGCCCACTCTCGACTGCAGTTTACGTTAACCGTCCAGATCTTGTGCAGCTATTACTGGAGCATGGGTCAGACGTTAATGGTCCAAGCGGAATGGCAGAACCTCTGATTCTGGCTTTCTCAATGAAAGGACGCGATGAAATCAAACAAATTCTCGTTGATAGTGGAGCTAATCTCAACCAACTAGACATACAAGATTCACCGGCCATCCATACCGCCGTGGAGCAAGACTATTATGTGACAAAGTTGTATCTATTGTTTGTGGACATGGCAGGATATGATGAGATCCCAGATGTAACGGAGTAAAGTAAGGAAATATCGAGGTAATTTTGGCTTGGATGTCCGTCCCAATTTGAAGAGAGACAGACCACTTAGCGCGTTGAGAATCTACACTCATGATGTCTTTCAATAGCCTACCTATCGGAAATCTCTGTGATTCAATAAAGTATTTGTGTCTGTTCAATCTTTTTGTTTCGTTTCGCTTTTAGTCTCTTCATATCAGCAACGCGAAACATTGACTTGGCAATAGGATGAGGTACTTAGGTCTGGAAATAGCTAAGCAGGCACCTCAAACAGGTTTGCATCCAGCTTGGGCAAATCAGCTGATACATCGACACTATTGGGACTGTTACAGACGAAAACGCAGGCTGTATGATTATAGCCACATATTCGAGGCATGGTAATATTGACAAAGCCTTGCTGGATGAAGCGGGCAGTCTAAGTTAGTCACTCAGCGGAACTAAAGTCCTATCCCTTGAAGAATCTGCTAAAGTGGGAGGTCTTGGCTTTTGCTACAGCCGGTTCCTTCTTCTCTATCATCCCCTTTTTCGCTTCATCTGTGCGTCGTCTATCAGGGCGGTTGAGGGGGTAACTATACAGCTTTTCCATCGTCCGATCACTGACCTCGCCGCGGGCACATGCCGACGGTGCCAACTTCGAGCCCTGTGGATTCATCCCCACAACAAAGCCGTTGCTCCCAAATGTCAACGATGCTTTCATCACTCGCCCATCCATGTAGGTGGCCATGACCGGGCGCGGTGTAGGGTGATCTTCGCTCTGGTAGCCGATATGCCTCCCAGCTGTCGTCATGGCCTCGCACATAACCGGCAGCTTCTCCCGCTGCTGTTTGACCGGGATTCCCACGCCTTCAAAAGCCGATTTCTTATCCGGTACTTGCATGTGCTTGAAGCCAGCTTTCTTATTGCCTTCCTCCAGCCACAGATTGCCTGGACGGACGCTCGCGTCGGCTGGGATAGGAAGTTCGCTAGTTGCAGGAAGATGCCATGCCCGCATGGTCTTCTTGGGGGTAATTTTGTGACCATCTCGTTGAATATTGTCGATCACTCGCTTAGTGGACTCCGATTGCCTAAAGGAACGGGGTCAGTGAGTTGGTCGTGCTGCAGTCCTTGAATGGACTCACTGATAAGACATGGTGAATCGATGATAACATCAACTGTGTCGAAGAAACGTAGGTGATGTTTGGAAAAGTAGAGATGAATGAATGTGTGAGGATTGCCTTGCTTCCTTTATTTCATCTCCATAATGTCATTAGTCTGGGATTCCTGCAAGATATACTTCTATTAACGCACACCGAGCTTGTCAATCTTCTTTGGAAGACCGTTTGAAATCGTAGTGACAACTCTAACCGCCTGCAGCAACTTGTTGGGGCCACCGGTTTAACGCCAGTCGATGGCGGCCCAGGCCATCACTTTCCAGCGGATACGCGCTGCTGGCGCGGTGGGTTTCATCGACACAAGCCCTTGTCATTACCAAAATGTTCTGTTGGAACTTAGCGCCGGTATCGTTGTGGGTGGGGAATTCTGGTCGGACCGGGTCTTTGTTGGCCTGGCTTTCGTCCAGGTTCCTGAAGAATCTCCTCTCCGAGAGGCTCATTACTGTCTCTGATGGGTTCTGTTGGAACTTGCCGCTTATGATCGGGAGGATTTATGTTGGCGCGCGCCCTTCACTTTATCCCAGGGTATCTCAAAATATCAGAAACCTTTCCTTTCGTCGTTGTTGAAGTTGGAATAATCCCGGCTGGTGAGCTACCCCTGTCAGTGAAAAGAAGAGTCGTTGGCGCTTAAATGATTCCACAGCCACGCCTCAGCCCCAATGACCGAATATTAATACATACCACACTCCCCGCAGGAGGAGGTGTTTTCAGATCTGCATCTTTCGTATCAGTCAATTCATCATCAGTTGTCACAATGGCTGACATCGCCTCACTCAAAGCTCTTATGCTACTTGCTCGATCTCAATCTACGACAATTCACTTCTCTTTAAGAACATCTTACGGCTTGGTGTTAGAGTATCAATCCGGCAAACAGCTGTGCCTCCGCCTTAAAGACTCCACAACAGCATCAAATACGCAACTACCAACCCAGTCTCACTTGGAGGGTCTGGAACACGAGGCCTCGTCCGGATCTAAGCCGCTAGGTGTACCAGATTCACGCCACGACGATTTGTCCAAAGGCCAACTCGATTCTGTTGTTCCAGGCCAACAGCCCCTCCAGTCAGGCTACCGCTACCTGATTGACCCAGACTATGGCACTTCCGCTTTGTGGTATCGTCCAAAATGGCCTGGTAACCCCGAGGGCGAGTTTCACATTGACCTTCGGAGTCTAAAACATCGATATTCATCTGCTTGGATTGAGGCCTTTGAGAAGTGGGAAAGGCGATGGACTGAAGCTTTCAAGGCCCAGGAGTGCCATCTCGGTTCTTACAAGGAGCCGTTTCCGGACCTAGAGGAGCGAAAGACTTGGTTCGTGGAGGGTGCGCTGCTAGCGGCTTGGCTTGTACTGCAGGACGATGTTGACCAAGTGGCTTACGACCCGGATGATGGAATATTTGAGCTGCGGCGTGACGGCCTGGAGGAGACTTTGGCAGGGATGCTTTACGATTTGACCGATGGTTTGAAGATTAAAGAGGAGTCGGATTCCGACTAGATCCTAGCCGCTGTTTCTTCACGCAACAATATCGCACTGCCTGGTTCCAAGGTTTGCTGGCGAGGAACGATGTGCTTCTTTCGTGGCTGGACTTATGCGAAGACTAGGAACGAAGTTTATGGTCAAGCTTTACGATGAGCAGACATCCAAAAGTCCCATCACCAGTCGAGACTTTTCAAAATAATAGGCAAACAGAATATTGTGAAATTTCCAATCAATCGAACTCTTATACATACTCAGTGATAAACTCGACTCCTTTACTCTCAAAAAGCTCCCGTGCCTCTTCCAAATCGTCTAGAATAGAAACACGCACCGATGTCAAGTGCGGGAACTCGACTTGACAAACCCTCCCGAGTTCCAGAATTGCCGGCAGAAGGGTCCTCGTGCTACATGTAGAATAACCGCACTCGATTCCCACAAGTCTTATTGAGTCAGGCAACATGTTCACCAGCATCCGCGGTTCCATGTCTGTCTCATCTTCCTCGTAACAGGGGACAACGAGATATTGCGCGTCGAGACGCAGCTCTTGCAACTGTTCCAACCCCCTCAATGATCTCATCATATTTTCATCGGTAATACCATCGTCTCGATAATACGAATTATCGTCTTCGAGCATCAAGAGCTTTAAGAACTTCAACTTCGGCGCATGCTTCAGGATGGCTTCTTGCACATCGCGCGCCCTTGGAGGTGTTTCCCCATCCATAATGCCGGCGTCTCCACCATAATAAGTAAGCTTTTCCAGGCTCGGGAGTTGTTTCAGTAGTCGATTGAACGCGTCAATTTGGAGGAAGCTGTTCCGAAGGGTGATTTCTGTGACGTTCGCCATTTTCAAGCCCATACCGACCTCGATCACGGCGTATGCAAAAACTGATGTAATGTTCGGTGCAGCAAGGAAGATCTCCGTCGCATAAGCGAGATCAAAACCACCGCTATCATCCCAGTGTGATAGGGAGAGTCTCTTCAGATTCCGCAGAGATCCTGGAGGGCAGAATGGTACGGGGTCGTAGTATCCGTTCCAGGTGACAGTGAGACATAGGTCCTCGATATTGGTGCACTTGCCGATGAGCAGGCTCAGAAGCATTGTTTCATCCTCCTTGGGCTCGTCTTGTGATATGCGCAGGTGATCGAGCTGGGTCGTCACTTCTTTGAGTACCAGTGCATCGTTTCCAGATGTGAAGGTGAGCTCATCGTCCGAGCCCAGGTGCAGCGACTTCACATGCTGTGTGAGATCCGGACGCCATTTGAATAGTGTTCTCGCAAACGCGATCTCGTTCCCCCGGTGGAATCGATGATACAAAATCGGAGTGGCAACCGAGTTCAGCGGTTTGTTCGTCAGGCAGAGGTTGACAAGTGCAAGACGTCTCTCATGCTCCGGTCTTCCGATTGGGCAGCTGTCGTTGCAGTACATGCCCCAATAAGTTGATGAAGAACGAGGAGGATGGCAATGCGGGCAGAATAGCGTGAAGATTTTCTCTAGAATGGAAGCTGGTAACCCAGAAAAAGGAGACATGATGGGATGGTATCGTTGGAATAGCTGGCTGAGTCAAGGGTGTCGAGAGATGTGTACCAATTGTCAAGATACAGGTTTCAAGAGAATGATGGATAGATCGCAGCTAAAACCTGCAGTATTTGAGGCGCGGTATTGAATGCAAAATCTACGATGTACTACCAGCTGCCTCAGCTGTGACTTTCACATCGTGATGTTGTCCTTGTGTGTCGTCTGGTGCAAAATGGTATCCCCTGACGCACGGTACCTATGCCGCATAGGCAACAGGCCGGCGTCGGCTGAACGGGAGAATTATGAGTGGTATAAAACTGTGGGATTATAGGGCTGCTTGACCGCATTTAGAACAACTGGAATGTCTCAAGTAGTGACAGAAGCTGCGAGAGTTAGGCCGGTTGGTTGAACCAGATCGCTTGTCGGTCTGGCTAATGTGCATCTACAAACTCTAAATTACAGAGTGGCTTCCCGGACCAGGCAGCCGCTCAAGGGATTCGTCTCTTTCGAGCAGTCCTGACGGTTCCCGTACCCTGGGTGCGCGAGTCAAGCCAGCAGGACATACGACCACCAAGTGGAGCGCCTTAGCATCCACCCACACAGGCTGTTGCTTCGATGGATGAAGAACTTTGTCCTGGCCATGATATGCGGCTTATCTCCTCGTTCTCACTTGCGCAATGAAGAACCGCAGAATCACCAACTACCTTACTCTGCTGTACTTTCCTATCAAGAGACTGCACAGATCCAAAAGCCACCGGTTCCTTGCGTCTGGTGGACTTGATGTCACGGATAGCGGCAAACAATAAGTACACAAAGAGATTTCTCTCAAATATTTCGGCTTGTTTCGACAATCCACGTTCAAGAGGCTAAGGCCAGAGAAGCTGTAGAGACGCTTCATGCTTTATAATACATCTCTGAACCACTTCAATTGTTTGCATCCCCAGGAAACTCGGTGGAGCGAGCCATAACCGTCCATGCCCACCGTATTCTTCCCCGCTTCGCCTCTCGGTCTGGCCTCCGAGCTTTGAAGGCCTTTCGGCGTCTGCACTCCGAGCCCCGACCGTCGTCGCCCACGCACGCACTAGAACCGGCGCCAAAGGGCCGAATCGCGAGAACGCCGCGTTGTGCTCCGACTTTTTCCCCAACCCCTCCCCCCCAATGATCGTCCAGTGGTCGAGCAAGCGTCGATTGATTGCTTTGGATGGTATCATTGAAGGTGCGTCTTGACGGTCGACAAGCCTCGGACGTTATTTGACCTGGAAATAGCTAAATTGGACTTGTACAATAATTGCAAGAGCAGGAGGTTGATCACGACATGGTGTACAACCTGAGGTGACGAGAGTTGCGGAACTAGGTATGGGCGACCGTTCAAGGCTTACATTCATGACTTCTGAACTGGACGTATGTTCGCCTCGGCCTTCTTCGCAATAATATCAGCCAACATTTCCTTGAAGCCCTCTTCAGACAATGGCTGTATCCCCAACAATTGGTTATCAGTCTCTCCATACTGGTTGCCAAGCCCGTCACCAAATGCGCCCTTCACAGCGTACACATGGAAAACGCCCATCTTGGACCCGTCCACAGTTGCCTGTGCGGCAAGATGCTTCTCAAGTTCCTCCAGGTGAACCTGTTCCTCGTGCCATTCTCCCTCCGAGATGACTTCTTTCGCATGACCGAGTATTTGCTTCTGGGACATTCGTCCTTCGTGGATAAAAACAGGTCGATTCTTGGTTTCTGCCGAGTGCTTAAGGACGGCGACAACTGCTCGTGCCGCCGTCGGCATCGTGATCATAGAGACCGCCCGTTCCCCTCCGTTGTACAAACGCGCTTTTCGCTCTTTGAGGTCAAGGAAAACTCCGGTCTCGATTGACAAGTCGATGAACACGTTGTTGTAGATGTAAGTGTAAGTTATGCCGTGAGACCTTGCCTTCTGTTCCAAGTATTCTTCCACTTGAACCTTGTGTTTGTAGTTCGGAAACGTTCGTATTTGAGGATCTTGTAGGTTCGATCCGAATTCGGATGGAACGAATCTCTTGACGCCGGCGGTAGCGGCTGCGTCAATCAATGGGATTTGAAGCGGAATTGCCTCTCTTGAGAGTGCGCTCACGACAGCATCCTGGCCCGCTAGTGCCTTGACAAGACTCTCTTCATTGTTGTAGTCGACAATGGCTAGATTTGCACCGAGGCCGGCGTAAACTCCCTGTCCCCTACACAGAATAGTGACATTGAATAAACCAGATTGAATGAGTTCTTTCGAAATCAAAGATCCGAGTAGACCGGAACCCTATTCCTGGTTAGTCATAAGCCCTACAGCATATTCGTTCCGGTGTTCGAACACTGACACCGACGACTGCAACGTTTCGGATTTCCTGGCTTACGGAAGCCATCTTCGCTACTCCAGACAAACTGTGATGTGATTGGGCAAGCAATCCTCTGTGCGATCTTGTGTATTCAAGGAGCCGCCATCAGTATTTGAGGCATTCCTTGTCGTGCACACCCTTTAATGGAAGCCGAAGGCTAAGCCGGCCGTCGGTCTGAAATGCCCGAGTACGGTGTCCGCTTCGGCAAACTCGCCAGGCCCGTCCGAAAGGCAGTCCATAACATCACAAGCCGCTGGTCGCTGAATTAAGGGTTCCTTGGCGTTGTAAGAATGTCATGTGGGAAGGCAAGTATTTCGTCAAGTGAAAGAACATATCAGTCTTGTCAGGGAGAACCTATAGAACCATCTACCTCATTTGAACACAACCTTGTTCGAAATGGATCCAATTTCGCTGATTTCAACATCAACTACGTCCCCGTGGCCCAGCAAGCCGTTTGAAAACCAGCCAACGCCGTTGGGTGTGCCGGTCATGACCACTGTCCCTTGTTTGAGAGTGCGGTTCTTCGAAGCGTAAGCAATTAGCTGCTTGACGCTAAAGATCATTTCCCTTGTCTGAGTATCCTGTCTCTTTTCTCCATTTACCGTAGTTACCAGATGGAGTGCTTGGGGGTCGGGAATTAGCTTTGTAGAAGTGATACAAGGGCCAATCGGGCCAAAGGTATCAAACGACTTGGAATGACCCATCTGGTTTCCTGAGATCTCCACTGGGACCAGACTTCTCGCAGAAACGTCGTTGCCGATAGTGTACCCTAACGCCCTCTTCCTTCACATCCTTCGCATCTTTAGACAACACGAAGACTAGCTCGCCTTCGTAGTCCAACATCGGCTGCGCATCATCGTGGGCAACAATGTCGTGGTGAGCCTTTCAGCTGGCGTCATGAAAATGACGGGCTTTGTCGGGATAACGAACTGTCTGAACATGTCAGTGGTGCTTGCCGTCTCGAAATTACCGTCGGAGGTCATTCGTACGTTTGTCTCATTGGAGTGGAGCTTGTAGTTGAGGCCAGCACATAGTACGGAAGGTGCATCGGGAACTGGGTTAAGCAACTATCACAGCGTTAACCTCGCACAACCTCAATTGGTGAAAGCGCACTTCTGACCTTTGCTACTGTGCGTTTCTCGTTTGTCCTGGTAAATCCGTACTGTAAGGTTCCGACCACGACAGTGACCTGGGTCCCAATTATCTCCTTAGCCGCCAGGGGCTTGGCCAAGTCGCCGTACGACGTCCTGCCTTCCTCATCCACAAAACGAATCAAACGGTCAAATGACATGTTGGAATATTGTTGTGGTTATTAGGTGAGCTTGAGAATTAAGGGTAACACTTGTGTTTGTAGATTACTCTGGAGATGAGCCAAAATAATTATTGCAGCTTTTGAAGAGTACTCTTCAAGGGTACTTGTTCATATGCCACTGTCAATCGATCATTCCGGAGTCCTAAATGAAAACCCGAAAGCCCTTCGGAAAGGAGATCGCGTTCTCGGAGAGTTTGAGCGACGGCTCCAGCGCTCCAGCGGGTGCCGGGCTTTGGGGACGGAGAGACCGAGACCGATCAACGCGTGCAGGGGCTAGTCTGCTCGGCATCCGTCTCCCTGTTTCGACGCCGTCGAGACGAGTTATATCCTGTGCGATCATGGAGGAACTTCACCAAAAGCCGCCCATGGGCTCCGGACCTCTTTTCCAATTGCCACTTCAAGAACCTTCTCCACTATCTCTCGTTGTCGTGGCCATGGCGTCTCCAATTCCTGAGAGAATCAACCTCAAGAGCCTGATGTATGTATGGTACACACATACGGACATCGACGCAGCGGACAAATTTCTGACCGACTTTGGCCTCATACGAGTGAAGGCAACACCAGACAAGATTTGGTATCGCGGCTTCGGTGAAAGCCCGGCCTGCTACATATCCGAGAAGTCCGCGGATGGCAAGCCAGCATTACTTGGCGGTGGATGGAGTGTTGACACGTATGACGACCTGAAGGCTGCAGCTGAACTACCGGGCGCTTCCCCCATTTCCAAGGCCAAGATGTCATAGGAGGCAACAAGGTCACCCTGACCGACCCTGCGGGGGGCTTGGTCCACCTTCACTGGGGTCATCACGAACGCAAGATCGCCCAAGACGAGGTGCCAAAGAAGCTGACCTACAACACTTGGGATACGAAGTCTCGGAAGGGGGAATTCCAACGCTTCGACGACGGGCCCAGCGACGTCCACAAGTTGGGACACTACGGTTATGAAGTCAGCCATGACGATTTCGAGAAAGTCCGTCAATGGTACTTCGATACTCTCACCCTGACAGCAACAGATTCCCTGTTCAATCCTCAAAACGGAAAGGATGTCATGACATTTATGCACCTTGACAAAGGTGAACAATATGTCGATCATCACGTAAGTTCCAATCATACATCTTCGACATACTGGCATTGACTATTTTCTAGAGCTTCTTCGTCTCTGCTGGGGATGTCACGGCCTGCACTGCAAACCACTGCAGCTTTGAGGTTGACGACTTCGACAGCGAGATGAAGGGTCATAACTTCCTCCTGAAAAAGGGATGGTCACTCGTTTGGGGCATAGGCAGACACTTGCTTGGAAGCCAAATCTTTGACTACTGGTTCGACAACGACGGATTCGTACTGGAGCATTACGCGGACGGAGATCTTGTGAATTGCAACAACCCACCCCAGCGAGAGCCAGCTTCCCCCAACAACATCGCAATGTGGGCGCCTATGTTGCCGCTTGCATTTCTTACTCGAAGCAAGGAGGACATGGGAAAGACTCTTGGGCCACCATCGGGTGCAGAGGGGCCCCCAGCTACAGTCCCATCAGGATAGCTACCTTAGATCACAAGTACAGACGCTCATCCCACCCTCCGCTCAATTTTATTTGTTTTGACTAGCCACCTCTGCTGTTCGTCATCGCTCAGAAGTCTTTACCATACACTTATGCTTTGTGACCTTGAACCTCACCTGATGCCCGTCAGCCACTACCTGGACGGAATGCAACGAAGCTTGTAAGCTCAGGGTTCGGAGTTTTGATCATGGTATTCAGGTTCCAGAACTTTGTCATACAGCGCGTGCAACTTACCAAGCGTACCTATTCTCTTTCGTTCAATCTATTACCTCATGAGTTTCATTGATCACGAAAGTTGAATCAGCATTGCAAGCTGTCGCATTGCTTCGTGCGAGGCAGGGAAGCTTCCATCAAATCAATGAGGTTGATGACCTCCGAACATTTCACGAATCTCTTGTCACCTCTTCGGATGAACATTGGAAGGCAGTTTTGACTGAATTTGTGGGGGTAATGCAAAATATATATATCTAACGAAATAATACAAATGAGAGAATGCATGTCTCATCTTTATTGCTACTGAACGTATATGCGCGCGCAAGGGCCCTATTACTCTTGCATCAAAGCATCGCGACGATTAGCGGTAAGGAAGGGAATGAAATGCTTCAGTTATCATATTACTGCGCGCGCAGTACTTCCTCCAAAGGATCCAGATCCATGTTCCCCTAACGTCGAGACAATGTCAGTAGATACTCGACTCATGTGACATGCACGAACGCTTTCACCTACGTAGACCTTCCATTCGGCCAACTCTTTCTTCCACGCCTGCTCGATCAATGACTTTCTCTCCGATCTGACCTTCAAGCTCAGCGGAAGTTTGCTCCCAGGGACTCCCGGAAGTTCTTTCTCCACGTAGTCGTCAGGGTTTAACGGCATTTGGGTGCCGGGACGAACCCCAATGTCAAAAGCCCATAGCGTTCGCATGATAGCCACTGCAAATGATCTTTCGGCAACTTGGACACCTGGGCCTGGGAAACGTCATAAGTTTGTGAGCCTGAAGGGAACATATGGGGATGCAAGGGCCCAAAAGGTAAGTGCTCACAAAACCGGCGGCCAACTCCGAATCTCAATAGATGTGATGTCGAAGAGCAATGAGACTAGATCAACTCACTGACAACTCGTCGCCCTCCCAGCGTTCGGGTCTGAATGTATCGGGATCCGGATGACGCTTGGGGTCTCGACCAATCGCCCTGGTGACGGAAAGTCAGCATCAAGACTTTCTGCCTTGACGTTCCAAGGTATTTCTGACAATCGAAGACGGAAGTAACTCAACATACCAAATATTCGGTCGAACAGTAGAGCCTGCAGGGATGACATAGTCTTCGTAGGCAATGTCGGCGGTGATACGATGAGCGAGGGCATTTCCAACCGGCGGGCGCATTCGCCACGTCTCCTTCATGAGATATCGCACGTATGGTATCCGTTCGATGTCTCCCCAAACTGGCAGTCTGTCTCCTACGGCATCGTCTATGATGGATAGTCAGTCAAGACTCGCAGTAACTCCACAATCACGGAGTTCTGAACTTCCTGCTCTTCGGAAAGTACGAACCTATCAACTTTCTGGCGTGCAGCTGAACGCGAGGATTCATCATCATCTGCTCGAGAAACACCCATGTGCTCACGCGGCTCTAGAAACAATTATCGTTCTGCGTGACAGTGACCTAATTGTCGGCAATAATACTTACCGTGTCTGATGCGGCCGCTATCAGTTTGAGGGCGACATAGGCAGCCTCAGTCTCACTAGCACCAGACTTATCTGAACTGGTGAGAACGCGTGTCATGAAGGAGTCCGGAGCTGATCCGGAATTTACAAGCTTCTTCGCGTACTGGTTTATTCATCAGTATTGCACAAAACAGGGACCGAGAGAATCACAGAGGAACGTGTGGTCTTACATTCATCCGGTTCTGAACAAATTCAACGTCAGAATTGTGTCGTTTGATGTCATTCTTGGCCCATGGCTTTAAAGCCAGTGGCAGGTAATCGAGCGCCGTAAATATGTCGGCAATATAGAAACCAGAGATTGTCGCTGTTGGGGTCTAAGTGAGCATTTGTGAAGCTGCAGATGGATGGCAGTTGACTGTACACGTTATCTCATCGATAGCACTTTCTGACAAGGGGTGAATTAGTGTCTGAAAGTTAACCAAGTTGGGCGTTGAGTAACGATTTACCAAAAATGTATTTGCTGGCTGCGCTATCAGGTTTTGTTATCTGTGATGAACCGCCATTAGTGTCAAGGTAGCTCCTTGCATCTTGCTCTGACTGACCTCGAGCCCGTAAAGCTGGGATGTGAAAATGCTATAAACGTAGCGCCCAATGCTATCCCACAGATTCGTCTGTTTCTCTGTGCCTGCATTCGGATCTTGGGCAACATGATGCAGAAACTTCAGCGTTTCGTGATATAAAAATGGCAGACCAGCATCGGCACGCTGGACGCTGGTGAGATTCTGGAGCGCTATTTTCCGTTGTAACTGTGGAGATATGTCACATCAGCAAATACGTTGTATCAATTACCAGAGTCATGAATATCTAACCTTCCATCGGGGATTGCTGGCATCCAAAAGATCCATGCTTTCATAGTTGGTGATGTATTTCTGTCCAATAAGCCATGCGGGCCGCTCGGATGAAATCGCTGCATTCTTTTGAAATATCGCGGCACAAGCGCGGTCAGAATTGATGACATACTCGGTATTGGGTCCAAGAACGACTCGAATGATCTCTCCATGCTCTCGAGCCCACGCAATCATCTTGAGATGTAGCAGGCCACCCGCGCTCACAACGTCCATGAGATTTCCCAGAAATGGGTATCATTTTGGAACTGGAGGGAGGTGCTGCATTGCCGATCCCTTCGCTGTCCACAAGTAAAACGCCAGAGCCAGAATAGCAAGGGCGACAGTACTCGTGGTTCCCGAGGCGACACCTGTGATCGCCGCGGTGTCAAGTTGTAGCAATCCCATCTTGAATAGATAGCAATAAGGGATGTGATCGAAGGGCTATGATGTTGCTGAGAAATTGTAGGCACTATTTTCGAGAGGAGATTCTTTTACCCGTAGGAAACAAAACCTGGAGGTGAGGGAGCAAGAAAACACAAGGAACTGAGTTACTCATCTTCCTTTGAAAGTGTCATGCAACCACCGTCAGAGCGATTCAAAGCTTGATTGCTCGAAGGATAGAGGTGCCTAATTGATAGGAGTCGGTGTCCGAGACCCCGAATTGTAGACACTCGGACTCATCGGTGAAGAAAAGCCGAAAACGTTTGTTCTACGCACAGTCGGCATCGGAATGCCGGAGAAGGATGCAGTTGAGTTTGATAATCGTTGCTCCCCGAAGGACCTCGTCAGAGCCGAGATACTCGAGAGTTACGCGCTGGTGTGTACCTATGCTGTACTATGTGGTTTTCTTGGCTAGGCCAGTTGAGAATCTCCTACCGCCAATACGGAATCAGTGGAAGCCTCTATAAGTGGTTTGATATCGAATTCCTATCCTCATTTCATGCTGATCGCCAACTTATCTTTGAATTTGCCTGCAAACCCTCTGATTCTCGCGTTGCTGATTGAAACAAAGCCATCGAACCATGGACACTCTATCATCGTATGCGGCCAAATCGCCGTCGATCGTATCGCCGTTCCTTACCTACTTCTCGAGGACCAATGGAAATAATTATGTCTTCGTTGCCTTATTTGCGCTGCTGGCACTACTTGCCGTGTTCTTCGTGGCGCGTAGCTGGGGTCGGTTCCGCCCCAACGTACCCTTCGCTCTCGAGGACGAGTTCCCCAGTCGGAAAGAAAGGGTACAGCAATATGTGCGGAATTCTCGAGAAGTTCTAGCCAAAGGGTATTTCAAGGTAAGTAGTTGTAAATCAGTATCGAAATCGAGTTTCCATATTCTAACTAGAATTAGTTCAAAAACGAAATATTTGCCATTGATACCCCACTAGGTTGATATTGCTTCCCACTCATCTCACGCCCAAATACTGTACGTCTCGGGTGCTAAAGGAAGATTTAGGCTGCAACATTGTTCTTCCCATTCGATTCATGGATGAACTGAAAAGCAATCCCAACCTCAGCTTCAGCGCCGCCTTAAACGAGGTTCGAACACCCAAACTATCCCCGATGATTTGAATATGAGAAACTGACGACACTTAGTTCACTCTTGAACGGTACACCAAAGTTGGTGCCCTCCCAGCCTGGTCAATCAAGCTATTCTCGGCAAAGTTCAATCCGGCCTTGGGTGAGATCATTATTTCAGGCATTCCTATTCAATAATCCTAAGTCTCGTGTCATTAGATTCCTACGCCGAAATATTCCAGAACATGGTTGGCGAACACATTGCGAATCTGTTACCTCCGGCTCACGGAAAAGGTACGCCATCGCCAACGGTCTGATAGGTAGCAATATTGCACACTTTCTGACTCGTCACTTGTCACACAGACTGGGCCTCCATAAATGTGTGGTCATCCATCATTCCCCTCATAACGAAATCAAACGTTCGAGGCTTTCTCGGTTCCGATGCCGCCGAGGATGAGGTCTTTCTTGATGTTGCAGGCACATTCATCATCAACCAAATTGTCTACTCAATAGGTGCAAAGCAGTGGCCGTCGTTTCTCTTGCCAATCGTACACAAGTACCTCCCTGGTTTCCCAGGTCTCGCCGAACAGTACAGCAACGGCGCAAAGGTGGTCTTGAGGCAGATGAAAAACAAGAAGGCCAATGGTCTCAAACCTCTGTCCGATCCCCCGAGCGTCTTCGATTACGTCAATGACGACGGTCAGTATCTGGACGATTTGCAACTTCAAATGAATATCCAAATGCCTCTGTGTGCTGCAAGCATCCACACTACAACATCAACAGTCGTTCAGTGTCTTTACGACCTGGCCAGTCGCCCAGAATATCTGCCAGCTCTCCGCCAGGAAATACAAGAGGTCACAAACGAGCATGGAGATATACTTACAAGACGCGTAGCTTCCAAACTGGAAAAGATGGACAGCTTCATTAAGGAAGTACAGCGGTTTTGCTCTCCTGACTTGAGTACGTCCCTGCCATGACTCCTTCCCCACACGTTAAGACTTAAGCTGATGCCATCATCATAGCGACGTTCCAGCGCAAAGCCACCGGCCCGGTCACTCTGTCTAATGGTTTTCACCTCCCAAAGGGTGCAAGAATTGAGGTCGCCACCGGTGCCATCAATGCTGATGCCGCGCTCTACGATAATCCCTCTGAGTTTGACCGCTTGCGATTCTACAAGAAGCGACATACAGAGGAAGCCCGTTCAAAGTATCAAGTTTTGAGTGTGAGCAAAGAGGATTTGGCTTGGGGCTATGGGCGAGCTGCGTGCCCTGGGATGTTCCTCGCGGACATGCTGATCAAGATGATCCTCGTGGAGGTCTTGAAGCGATACGATATCAAGATGCCCGACGGTCAAGGCAGGTATGAGAACATGGAGGTTCAAGGCCAGGTAAGATGACCCAAATCAATATTAGAAAGACACATGCGGCGTCAGCTGACATTTCCCACTTCAATAGACACTGCCAAATGAACAGGGCGAGATTTTGATACGGGAGAGGGATGTGAATGAATAAACTTTCGTAGCCGCCGTGGTTAAAGACAATCGCAAGGATCAACCCAGTAGGAGCACACCTCCCAGTAGCACTCCCGCAGCGGACGTCAACCTTAAATAGCAATCTTAATCGAACTTGGAGTCGCATGAGAGCTGTTCACGTCATCCGTCTGCGTCTTCCCATTTTCTTTTGGCCGTTCCAGTACCATATGTGACGGGTAAATTTTGGTGCTATCCACCTTGAACACATTGAATCTGAAGAAGTGACCTTTCTTATATTGAGACACAGCAGGTGGCAAAAACTCGGTCAATGCACTGCCGCTTCAGACTCCAGTGCAGCCCAAATACTGAGAGGAAAGAAAGTTCACTGATGCGGATGGTCTAAAGATGCAGGCTTACACAGACTCGCGAAAATTTGGATATCTTGCGGCACGTATACACCCAGCTATGCGTTCTATTTACACCTTTGCCATCTTCATTGCTTCCTCCAGAAACTCTCCAATGAGGCTGTTAACATTCTTGTCGCCGGGAGGCAACATTTGAGTACCAAACGCGCCAGCCAAGCCCTTTTCCCTGTTGATGAACCATGCCATTCCGGGCATGGCGCCCCAGCTCAATGTATGTCGAGGCAGAAGGGGAGTTTCATCGAGGGTGACGAGCCCACCAATGCCAAACGACAGCTTTCCAAGCGTCTTCTCGCCTCCAGTCAGATTTTCATGCATGAACTAAGATGCAATCGATCAGCTTAGTGCTTTATGGAGGCTTCAATGCGAAGAGGCTGGGTGGTGAAGATATGCTTACCGGCATGTTCATCAAACCCACAGCTTGAGGACCGGTCTTCGAGAACTGTGGTGTAAACATGGCATCCACGGAAGTTCGCTTCAAGACTGTAGGATTGTCCTTCAAAAGGTCCGCCAGGACTTTGGCGTGGTCTGCGACGCTGGTAACAATTCCGATCCCGCCTGCATCGGTCACGGCGTCTGCGGGATACCACGGAGCCGTCGGAACCAGCTTCCCTTCCGGGGTTCTCATTGCCGTATCCATCAGCTTTGCTTTGATCTCAGGACGAGCATTCAGATGGAATGTCGTGTGTCGCATTCCCAGAGGATCAAAAATGTTCTTTTGCATATACTCTCCCAGCTTCATATGGTTCAATCGCTCAATGATGACGCCGGCCCAGTCTAGGCCGCCACCGTACGCCCAACTCTCGCCCGGCTCGAAGACCAGCGGAGTGGAGAATGCCTTTATGACGTCTCCGCTGAAGGAGAGTGCGCTCTCGCCTCTGGACTGTCGCCACTTCATCAACAGAGGGGTTCTCCCATCGTATACGATTCCGCTTTGGTGGGTAAGTAGATGTCTGAGAGTAATTTTGTTCGCAGCCGGCGTAAGAACAAGATCACCTTCTGCACCCTCGGAGAGAATATCGGGGTTCTTGAGCTCTGGCAGCAGCGAATCAACCTCATCATCCAAGGCAATCTGTCCTCGCTCAACAACTTGCAATGCAGCTACTGTGGTCAATAGCTTTGTCCACGAGAAAGCCCAGTATGTGGTATCCTCATCGGAGACTTCATCGGTGTCGAACTTGACGCGACCGGCGCCTTTGCTGTAGAGAGTCTCCCCTGGTAATATTCACTGATTAGATCCACACACCGACGTAACATTCTAGCCATGGCATACCATTTTTGTCGACAATGGTCGCGAAAACACCGAACACGTCATCAGCATCCTTGGCGGTTCGGGCGGTGAGAATGTCGTCCAATGTCGAATCCATGATACGAATCTGATGTAATTGTGTCCAAGCGCGAAGTTGCCTCTCAGAAGGATGTTTACGAGCATTCTGGTCATTGAACATGTCCCTTTTTATCTGTTGGCTGGGCAGAAGAATGTCCACTCGCCACGACCATGGTGGCCGCGCACCCCGCAGACGGACTCAGCGGACAATTGTGTAAGTGACAACTCCGAACCAGCCCATGCCAAGTATGCCAAACCGGCTCCCAACGGCTTCGGGCTCCGAACTACACACTTGCATGAAAGAGCTGGTTTTCGAAGCGCTCGGCTATGATGCCCCGAGACCCCTGGAAGCAGATTGATAAGGAACCTGAGTTATCTCGGTTCGCCCCTGGTCGTGCTTAGTGATAGGCCTAGATCGATTGGCTCGACACCGAGATAAATCGTAATTTCTAGGTGCCTTCAGAATGAATCACCTTGCAACCTGTGTGTCTGTGTTTACCAAGTAGATTTCACCTTGACATATTGCTTCTGGAAAGATTAAATAAAAGAACATGCCCCCTCCGCAACATGACCCGGAGGAGATGGAAGACACCATCGTAATCGCCCAACAATCTGATCTCGGCTCAGGCGCATCTGCGCAGACCACCGCTGTGCGGTCATGTTTACTCTGCCGTCAGTCCATTTTCGTTATTTGAGTCGGATTTTCCTCCAAGTGATCTAGCATAAATATTTCTGACACACTGAGCCAATCTAGGTCGGAGAAAGGTCAAATGTGACAAGAAGAAGCCTTGCGACGGCTGCTCCAAGGCCGGCGTGGAATGCGTCTATCCTATGGGCCGCGCAAGTCGACGACAAGGCACTCCCGATCCTGAGCTGACCAACAGATTGAAAAGGCTTGAAGACGTGGTCAGGAGGCTTGGGTCATTTATCGGAGAAGAAGGCATACAACAGGCCCTTCAAACCGCCCCTCCGCAGTCGCCCCACGAACCCCAGCAATCCGCTTCCGCTTCCGATAATAATCCCTCTGCCACTCCGCCGCCTGTGTCTATGGAACAGGATCGATATGAGAAGCCTCAAAAGGTAGCGGCGAGTCCAGAGACAGGAAGACTGATAAGGGAGGAGGGGAAAAGTCGTTATATCAGCGGTTCATCTTGGGCGTCTTTGGGAGTTGAGGTAGGATGAACCTGGTTCAGCAACTGGCGGCAGCAACGCTATGAGATCAAGAGACTAACGAATCCCAGCTCGGCGGCGAACACGATACAGCTGAAGACCCAGGGTACGATGCTGATTTTGAATCTCTCGAGTCTCATGTCTTGGCCCACAACTTCGATTCCATCTTCGGGAACAGCACCGCGCAACCTGTGGATATTTGCACGTTGCACCCCACCTCTGGAGCATATCGTTGGAAGATGTGGTCTTTATACAAGCAAAATGTTCACCCGGTCGTCAGTTTGTTTCATCTCCCCTCCTTGGAGCAATGGTTCCACGAATCAACTGAAGTGGCATTTGGCATACCACGAAACATGGAACTCGCCATGTTCTGCATATACTACGGAGCTGTTACCAGTATAGACGACGAGGACTGTCAATCTTTGTTCGATATCGAACGCAGCCATCTCCTCGCAAAATATAGGCTCGGTGTGGAGAAGTGTTTGGTCAGGGCTGGCTTCATGGATACAGATGATCGACTAGTCCTGGAGGCGCTCTGCGCTTTCCTGATCATCCTCCGCCGTCATGATGCGAGGCTATCTTGGAAATTATCCGGACTCACTATCAGGCTGTCCCAGTCTGTAGGGATCCATCGTGATGGCTGCACACTCCATCTTCCCTTTTTCGAGGCCGAGATGCGGCGGAGGCTCGCATGGCAACTGTGCAACATTGACGCACCGGCTCAGGAAGATTACGCTTGTGATCCATCCATGTAAGTTCCAAACATACTGGCCATTCGTTGTAACGGGTATAAATGCTGACACATATGTGCATGCGCAGGCTCGAGATGAGCAGCTTCGATGCTGGGATGCCCATCAACATAAATGATTGCGATCTTACTCCCGATCTGCTAGAGAGACCGCCGGAGAGAGTTGGCTTCACTGACAGCACATTTCTTAGGGTGCATGTTGAGATTACACGTCTCTGGCGGTATGTCTTCGACTCTCGACGGCCTCGAGACCGAGGCGAGAAATCAGTAGAATACATGACGGATACCGAGAAGGATGAATGGCTCGAACAATGTCATCAACGTCTCCACCAAGGTTATCTGAAGTGTCTGTCACTATCGGATCCATTGCAATGGGTGAAAACTTATTCTCTTTCTCTACTCTCCTGTCCCTTCACGCTATCGCGATGATCTGGCTCCGACATTGACTCTAACAAATACAGGTTTCGGCATTGTATGTGCGGTGCATGCTTCTTGAACTGAAGGTCAATGTGTTCAAGCCGTTGCAAAACCCAGCGAGATTCAATACCGCGAGGCGAAACGAGCTTTTTCTTTGCTCTCTCGAATGTATCGAAGCATCTTACCGACTTGAACATGACCGTCGCAGTGAAAAGTGGGCATGGTTTTTCAAGTCTTACAACCAGTGGCATGCTCTCGCCTTTGTACTTCACGAACTACGCGAACGGAGGGCCGGCAGCAGTGCCGGTAATGCATGGCGCGCGGTAGAGCGGGTCATGGCATCTAGATGGGAAACGCCGTGCGAGAATTACCGAGGTGGGCATCAGTGGAACACTATTTTGCGCATGTGGGAGGCTGCTAGGGCGGAGAATCGCAAGGTCATGCGGTCTCCTCACCAAGACACCGAGACTTCTATGGGCGGCCTACGCCCTTTGTCAGCGGCATTGACTGAGACCAGTATGAGCCGAGCACCTCTTAAGGCTCCTGCATTTACGACGGCATCTTCCGACCCAGCAAATGCAATGTCCCTATCAGGTGGTACAAGATGCAGTGGCGTCGACTTTCAAGAGTATGCTTCTTCTGAAGAGATGCCATCATTCCCGAAACAGGCCAACTTCTCAATGATTGATATAGAAGAGTCCCCTGAAGACAGATACAGCACCGTGTTTAGTGATAAGACTCTGGTAATACCGGGAGTAGACGACTGGACGGAAGGTTTTGAAATAGACTTCGAGCTATAATTGGCCTGATGGGTATCTTGTCCTTGGTGCCTTTTTGTTCATGGCTAAAGTAGTCGACTACCAGACAACTTCTCAGGCGCCTCACAGTCGTGTCATGTGTGCCACCAATATCGCGCCGCTTCGCTCTCGAACCATAGCCCACGACGCTGTACAACT